ATTATTCAACCCCTTTATCAAAGAGAACTGTTCCTTTTTTCTTTTTCGAAAATCATTTAGCAAATGTGAATTTTTGCACTGATTTACAACGCAAAGGATGTCAAAAAGGAAAGCGAAAAACAAATGAAATGCGCACGTAATTGCATTGGGCTCCGTAGACAAGAAGTTGGAGAAGACGAGCGGGGGACTTTTGACTAGAATGGGTCCTACGTGGGGGCTGTGTCTTGCACGTTGCACGTTGCTCATACGCCGCGTTGACAATGCTGCTGCTGCTGCCGCTGCTGCTGCTCGTTGAGGCGGCCCCGTTAGTCGTCATAAATGTGAATAATTTATTACATTTGAGCGGCTTTTGTTTTGGCCCATTGCTTTTGTTCTATGGCATTTCGGTTAGAAATTCATTAATAGCACTTTTATGACTTTTCGAGACGTTCCGAGACGGAGTCGACTTTCTTGTTTTGTTGCACATTTTTATGTTAATCGTCGCTGTTGGCCTGCCCTTTGGTGTGACTCGTGCTGTTCCTTGCATTCCATTCCACTGCCCTTCTGGCCAAATGGCGTTGCACAATATTTTTACAAAATTGCATAGCATATCCTCTGTGATTGTTGTTGTTGCTGTTGTGGTTGCTATTACTAATTATTGTTTCGCTTAGTTGCTGACACGCTTATTTGTTGTTATGTGTCTTTTAATTGCTGTTTCTGCCCCACAATATGCAAAACTCCCAGCTGAGAAATGGTTCCTTGTAATGCAATCAAAAACAATCTGCTGTCGACCAACTTTACTTCTCGTTTTGGCCAAAAACTAACAGCCAAATCACAACTGACATAAACGCTACATGATTTTTATCAGCCGCAACGCGGCGTCTCTTTCCATTTCTATATAAACTTATGTGTGTGTGTGTGAGTGTGTCTGGCTGTGTGTGTGCGTGTGTTTGCATTATATAAATCATGCGCCGTACATCTGTCATAAGTAGTTGTAATAAATTTATAGAGAAGTTTACTTTGTACTGCTCAAGATAACCCAAAGTGCGATGCGTGCTTTTTTTGCGACTCGTGCTGTGCTGGTGCGGAAGAATATTCTATATATATACGTATACCCTGGTAGAAAAGCTGCCGAATATTTTCATAAATATAGTATTTTGTGTATATGAGGCAAAACAGATTTTATAATCAAAAAGAGCAGTTCAATTCAGGCAATTTTCAATTTTCAGGCTCATCTCGTTATCTAATTCCATAGCGATCGATTGAAAATCATTCAAATTTTTTGATAATCTATATGTGTACAGTCTTTCGCTCTAGCACAATTAAGTAGAGCATTCTTGCTTCTATTTTTAAGCGATATTATTGCAAAAGTTTTGCTGATTACCACAGTTGAGATTATCTCAAACGAGACACAATAATATTTTTTTTTAGAAAAGTATCATTACTTGGTTTCTTTTTTGTTTTATCTATTCTATTTTTAAAGTGGTTAAATAAATAATAATTAACTTTATTTGAGCAACTGTTGCTCATCAGAAAGTAATATTACAAAATCCCCCCCTAAAATTATCACTGCTCCTCATTTCTTCGTTATCGTTAAATAAAAAAAACCATGACGTCTTTTACTTATCATTTTTTATTTATTTATTGGCGCTTTGCTTTCGCTACATTCGCGACGTCATGCATTCTATCTCAAAATCCCCTCAAAATTCGGACAGTCTAGTCCATGAGCTGTTTTTACTTTTTTGTTGGCTTAGTTAGTTGAAAGCATGTGGCCAAGACGTCATAAACTAAACTGTTTTGAGGCTGACAGAGGTGCGTGCTTAGATTGTATTGCTTGTTGAGAAGTTAATACATGTATAAATATAGTTATTTCTACGGTTGGTTGTTGATTTTGAAGTTTTCCAACCATTTTCTATTGTCTCCCTCAGACAGTTTGTTAACAGATATATATATATATATATAAGTGCAACACAGTCACAGCTTTTGTTATTTGACTGTTTCGCAGACAGTTTGTTGGCTTTTAATGGCTTTTAATTGTGCAAGTGCTGCTGGAGAAAGCGTCCTGTGACAGGGCCTAAACAAAAGTAATTTCACACTCGCTGACTTTTGGGCCGCGTCGCCACAAAGTGCAAACAATTTTTCTTTGTGCAACTCGAAAACCCTGACCTCGCGCCCACAGCTACCCACTGCCGTCTCCCCTACATTGCTTGCTTTTTTTTTAGGCCTGCCTGTCAGATATTTATTAGCCACAATTTGGCAGCCACAAATTGGCAGCTCAACCTGCGTCGCGTAACGCGAAATCGTAAAACGAAAATTTATTATTTATGTCAACTCTTTTGTGCTATTTGCCCTGTCAATGCTACCACAAACCCACCCACTTGCCCTCACTTCCTCCGTTTACCTGGTCAACAGCTCTCACCCTTGCCCTGGGGGCCAACTCTCTTAAAGCGCACAAATTATGCGAGTCTTGTGCAAATTTTTGTGCCAAAGCGCATTTGTCACAATTAAGCAAAAGGTCTCGAAAATTATGAGAACTGCACGGCGTGAAATACTACCAAAAAAAATATACTCGTATACTTGCAGGACTCGGTGAGCAGCGGTGAGTCCTTACGTTGACGTCGACGTCGACATGACGTGCCTGGGACCACCTCATACAACCGATGGCACCTGAGTTTAACTGAACCTCTCTCGCATATATACATATATATATATATATATGAATCTACTTTTTTTTTGGCACTGATTCGACACAGACTCGACCCCTTCCTAGACCTGAGCGCCCCTGGGCAGTCTATTATGTGACGTCGCTGTCGCTGTCGCCGTCAGTTTTTGAGCGTGTGCCATGAAATATGCAAAGCGCAGTTAAAAACTTTTTATTTGTATTAATCAAACAGAGTTTTTCTTCTCGACTCTGCTCTCGTTGTTGTTTTTCTTGTTGCTGCACACATTTTTTGACATTTTTCCCACAACAATGGCAGTCGACTGCATAATAAAATTGCCAGAGACGGGCCCTTGATTGTTTCGTCATTTATATATATATATATATATATATATATATATATATACACCTTACTATGCATACATAGATATGTACACATCTATACAGTGTTAACTCGGAAATGATAACGTTCAATCTTTAAGATTGCAATTTATTCCAATTTGCAAATAACTGACATATAATTAAAAAATGTTGGACGGCATCTAATGGGTATAGATTACAGGAATGCTTAAAAAAATAGAAAAAAATATTATATTCAAAGTATCTAATGCATTTTCAGAGGCTTTCATTTTCGAGTGATCACTGTGATATATACTTATTGTCGACAATTATCGCTTTTGGGGGATTTTAAAGCCAAACTCAAGGCGACTGCCATGACAAATTAGTTGAGCAATAAAACTTGAGTGTGCTATCAAACTAAAAATATCGCCATCAATTACAAACTATATACCAATTGGTGTGTCTATTTGCGTGTGTGTGTGTGTGTGTGTGTGTTGACTGTTATTGTGTGTGCTGCCAACGTGCGGCTTACACATACACACATATATATAAAAAGGCCATAAAGAACGCGAACGACAACAACTTGAACTACGTCTAGGACTACATTGACGACACATTCGCCTGGGGCAAACTACATCATCATCATCATCATCATCAACAACAACAACAACAACAACAACAACAACATGAGGCGGTGGCAGCCACCTCAATTTAAGGGCCCCACGCACTGTCTGTTTGTGTGCAACGCCATAACCCCTCTACCCCCTTACTCGCTACCCCGTCTCTTGTGCCATTTGCAATTTGGCAACACTTTTCGGTTACGCGGCTGTGGGCAAACCGTTGAGCACTTTATATAAATTGTACAATACGTTTTTTTATGGCCCTTGAGAGTGCATTCTATATGTATGTGCTACTATTTTGTACTTACCAGCTATATATCGGCTTTTGATATATTCGTTTAGTTCTACGAGTGCCTGTCGCGGCGACAGATCTGTCTCTCCCTCTCTGCTTCTGCCTTGTGTGACGCTTTATTATACATTTTTGCTAAATTACACTTGGGCCGCTAGTTTATTTCGAATAGCCCATTTGTAAGAGTAACAACAAAACAGTTGTTCTTTATGCCGAATATACCCTGTAATCCACGATATAGATAAGTAGAATGGAACGTGCAACTTTTAGCACGGTTTTTATACAGGTTGAAACTAGACTGCGATTGAAATCGTGTGAGTAAATTGTATATAGGGAAATAAAAATACGCCAAAGGGAGTAAAATTCGATTGACATAATTTTATAGAGTAAATTCTAGTTGATTAAGTGCAGAGTTGGATCAAAAATAAATACCAATTGATTTCAAAAGATTTTGTTATCATGCTTTATGCATAATAAGACAATAATACAAATAATACAATAATACAAATTAACCATTTATATTTATCTAAGTAAGCAGAGGGTACTTTTAGTTCATCAGTTTCAACTTTAGCATATTAACATGTTATTTTTATAGTTGCGTGGCATTTTAATAAGCCAAATGCAAAAGTTCGATGGTTTTCTTTGTTGTCGTTCAAGTTGCAAGCGTCATTAAGTGCGCGTAATTATTCAATGACTAGCAAAGTTTAGGACTGGGCTTGAGAATGGGGATTCTCCACGGACAACACGCATTTGGCCGGAATGCATTTTTTCGTGGCAATAGCAACAGCGGACGAAGACATATGCCAAAAGTTGTCGAGTGATAAATGATTGCCGACTCGAGTCGAGTCGAGTCGAGTTGAGTTGACTTGCGCTGAGTCCTGAAGCGTTATTAAGATGACATTTAAATTCTATAAATCATGCCTCAGCGCCGATTTACATTTTTGTCGCATTTAGCCGCACCTGTTGGCCAGCGGCAGCTTAAAAGGGGGTGCTCGAGCTCGGTCTTAGAACTTGGGCTGTATGCAAAATAAATGTGCAATTTACATTATGCAACAGGATTGCGATCCACTCTTGTACTTACACTTTCGTTGCATTTTGCGTTTCTTTTTTCCAGATGGCGAACCTATCAAACTGCCCGACAATTTGGAGAGCCTGCCAAGAGCCGACAGTTTCCCATCGCAACGCCATCGTTGGAATACAAATGAGGTCAGTTTTACATATACATATAACCAACCTAAATACATATATATATATATAGATAGATATTTATGTGTTGTTTGCCGTTTGCTGTCTCGATTTGCATTTGATTGCACATAAAAATGTCGAAAATGAAAGCTAGAAAGAAATGTAACTTAAAAAGGGGCGATCGGGTCATAGGTCAGGGGTTAGCGACAGCGATTTACGCTTGACAGGCGGATGAGCCTGCCAGTCGTGGGCTGGACACTTTGACAGCTTCAAGGAGTCACTTCCTTCTACTCTTTTAACTTTTTTTTTTATACAGATTAATAAGACGGCGGGCTGCCAACCAGATAGCTGCTTGGTTTATTAGGGATGGTCGCGACTCGTCCGACGGCTTTTTTTATGCGACACAAAACTATAATACAAATTCAAATACAAATACAAATAGAAATTGTAGTCTTGCCAGGATTCGCGGGGTTAAAGGACATGGCCGGCGCACGTACGCGACAAAGCCAAAGTTCAGCTTTGTGTTTACAATAAAACTTTTGCGCTTAAAAAAGCAAACGACAACAATAACAACAATAACAACAAAAGCAACAACATGGCAAATGCCTTTTGGGCCAAACGCGACTGTTTGTTGCTGCTGTTTTACTTGTGAATTAAACGCAACCGCAAATATTCATTTGGACAGTTGTAAAGTTTTTTGCAACAGAAGCTGGGGCAATAAGAGGGTAAGTGAGTGAGTGAATGGGGAGGGGGTGGTGGGAATGGAAGGGAAGCAGCATTCTGTAAGCGGCATTTTACACACTCGCCCGACAAGCTGACTAAATTAAAAGCAAGCAAAAAATTTACAGTGAATACCAGAGGAAGCTATGAGCGAAGCTGAAATGCACTTACAACTCTTCTTATTGTTTATAATAAATTGAAAACGTTTTCTGATCAACTTTTTCAAATGCATATGAACATTCTGAATATCGCTTAAATTATCAAAAAATATACTACTAAAACATTTCATTAAAATAAATACTTTTAGATACTTTTTTAAAATACATATTTTCGATAAAATATATAAGTTATTTGACATGAGGAGGATAATAAAGAATTTGAATTTTGCTGCTTTGAATTTGTATGAATTGATAAAAAAAATAATATTACTTAAAAAAATAATATTTAGAAATTATTTCAACTTCTTAACATGAAAGAATTGCCAACATTTGTCGCAAGAGTAAAGTAGAATTCATAAAATTTAGTTTACTTGCCAGGCGTTTATTTTTTTGTGATTTGATAAAATATATAATATTACTTTACTTTCCAATTGCATTTCAAAATATGAAGAATTGAATTATAGATATTAAAAGGATGCCAACGACAATAACAATGAATATTTAATATTCAATACTAAATCATTTTTAATAAAACTCGAAAAGTTCCGTGAGGCATATGGTCCAGCTAGAGGGTATATAAGTAGTATGCCTCTTGTTCTCATTATATAAGCATCTGCTGGCATGTAATCAGAGTATAAAGCAACCCGTGCCACAGTTTATTAATATAAAGTTTCGCAAGTAAAAACCGTGAGAGGGAAACGGGTGGGGGGAGGGGGGAGAGGTTACGGCCAATGGCTGCTATAGCCAAAACCACCCAACCACCAAACTCCACTGAACGGACACTGCATCAGCATGCAAAAATTACAAAATGTAACCGTGTACGGGGCATAAATAAAATTACGCACGCTTATTTTAGTCTGCTTACAGGATGACAGTAAAATAAGAGGGGTGAGGAGATTGGAGGGAGGGATTGTTCAGTAACCGTTGCTGACCGTTAAATGGCCGCTTGGCTTTAACCACACAGTTTTAATTTGGCGGCAGTCGCCGAGACTGGATGCCCAAAAAAAAAAAAACACACACACACAAAATCCCATAAAGCAATGGCAAAATAATTCAAGCAGCAAGTCCTGGCCAAATACATACACATATATATTGTATGGCGAAAGTGTGGTTAAAAACGTTGCAGCTTAAAAATCAAAAGGTTAAATTGATAATGAGCCGCAGCAGTTGTGGGCCGGGCCCCATTGTTGCTAATAAAACTTGTAAATTGTCGCTTCGCTTGTGCAACTCTAATTGTTTTGTGTGCCACACGCATAAATCATAGCCGAGAGAAAGTGTTGCAAGAGCAGGGGCACTGGATGGCCAAATGCGCTGAGCTGCGCATAAATATTTAATGCACCATTCGCGCAGCTACTCGAACTACGTATGTGCCTAGAATTCATCATATGAAAAAAGAAAGAAGAATAAGAGAGACTGCTTGGGGGGCATGCATAAATAAGCAAAGCAAAAGCCAAACCCAAGGCAAATGCCAAAGTCAAAGGCAATTTGGGCAACAACAAAAAATGCAAACGTTTGCCACTTGACAAACACGCGCCTCTGATTTCAGCCCACTTCAGACTTCAGTTTGAACATCCTTCAAACTCTATCTCCAGAATATCTGTGTGTGTGCATACAATTTTTATGACACTCGCAAATGTTGCGATTTCTGACATATGAAATTGTTGCTGCACATCGTCAATTGGGCTATGGTCTATATATATATATATATATGTATATATACATCGACTGTGGACTTTGTTGGCCCTTTGGGCGTCGCCAGCTGTGCTGCTCCGCTGCCAGTTGTTGACGGCACAGATGAATGGTTGTTGGTTGGTCCTGTCCCATACGTAGTTTGAGAATGAATGTGAATGAATGTTGTGTTCGATGTGTGTGTGTGTGTGTGAGTGTGTGTGATGTTGTTTTCGCTCACTTTACATTATTCATGCAACGTCAAGGCTGGCAAAACAAATTGATAACTTTATCGGCAAAACATGCAATGAAATGCCAAATGGGCACCCAGCAGTGTTCTTCCCTCTTAGCTTAGCTTGGTTGTGTGTGATATGCATTTGAATGCTGACTATATTCATAGAAAGCTTCCCATATTCCCTATCTACCAGTAGTGTCTCCACGCACAGATGTTCTCTATCTCTGTCGTTTTCTCTTCCTCTCTTCTCACTCATATCTACATTCATATTAACTCGCCTTTTTGACTGTTTATCAAGCATACGCAATTCAAGTATGCTCACATACTGCAGACTTGCACACCGCCACACACACATACACACACACACACTGTTCTTCTGACCAGGTGTCAACTGGCGACACCTGTAAATTGTGGTCAAACTCCTGTGCCCAGCTGCTTCCAGGCACTTCCTGGCGCTTCCTGCTACCGCTGCTGCGGTCAAATGAAATTTCTAAAATGTTTTCCTTTGTTTTATGCGCAAAAAAAAAGTAGCAGCAGAAAAGTTTTACTGGAACCCGGTGGGTCCAGTGCAGGAAATGCCGCGAGTGCCTTGGCCAGCAAATTTGCCAGCAACTCGGAAATTGTTAGCACGTTCAGTTGACTTGGTTAACGGCTGTTGTTATTGTGGCAGCTATTGTTTCTTGAAAATTAGTAAACACACGTGACTTGCTGATTAGACAAACTGAAGGACGCTCGCAGATTAAACAGTTGAATCACAAATAAGAGATGCTTCTCGTGTATTGTCTAAAAAAATACGATTGCTTAATACTCTAGCAAAATAAACAGCTGTCGCTTCTAAATAGTGTGTATTTACTACTGATTAAAAATTACAGCAACTGAGTACAGCTACTGATAACAGCTGCTGATTAAAAATGGTTAATCGATCAAAGAAGAGGCCTATGAATCGTTTATAAAGAGGGTTACAAAGTAGCTTCAAAAAGAATGATTAAATTAGAGAGCAGCTTGCAGCAGAATAAGCACAAAAGGAAAACATTATTCATTAAACGATAGTCAAGAATTGCGACAATATATATATTTATCGAATTCAACTACAATTGACATTTAATATAATATACTCATAAATGTACCTAATCATTAAGCTGTTACAATATTTTAATACCCTTTCTTTGAGTACATATAAATATTGTGGCTACACATATTTCATTTAGTTTTAATCAAATATTTGTATGGTTTTTTTTTCTTCTGAAATTTCAGGAAATCGCTGCGATTCTTATCAGCTTTGATAAGCATAGTGAATGGCAATCAAAAGAAGTCAAAACAAGGTGAGTCACTCGACCGACTGTCTGGAGCACCACATTTGCATGCAACGCAATAACCATAATATTCTAACCACAATTCTCACTCTCACTCTCTCTCTCTCTCTCTCTCTTATCCGACCAACTCTCTCCGCTCTCCTATCAGACCGAAGAGCGGCTCCCTGCTGCTCTACTCACGCAAGAAGGTACGCTATCGACGCGATGGCTACTGCTGGAAGAAGCGCAAGGATGGGAAGACGACCCGTGAGGATCACATGAAACTTAAAGTACAAGGCACTGAGGTAAGCTTTTAGGCCGGGTATTTCTTTAAGGTAAGGGCAAAGGATAGTTCTGCGTTTCAAAATTAAAGTTTGAGAGTTTTAAAATAATTAAATAACTGTAAATAATTATAAACTGTTCAAATACCAAATAATTAATATTGCCAATTGCAAAATGCAAAATGAATCTAGAGTAAAAAGATCGTCCAAAATGGTAAGCCATATTAAATTTACCAAACTTTGACCAAGCTTGCAGCCAAGAAAGAATATTTATAAACTTCAAAGACTTTCGAGTGAAAACATGTTGTATTTTCGTTGACGCCTGCTGGGCAATTAGTCAATTAGGCGACTGCCTTAGCTGGCCTTCTGACCAAAGGCCAGTTGGAGGAGAACAAGATAAAAACAAATACACGGAAGTCGAAGCTTAAGTTTAACTGCCTTTTTGTTGGGGGTTGCTAAGCACACTTATTTTATTTTGTTTTTTTTTTTTTAGGGTATTGTGAGTTATGATTTTCCGCCGGAAATATACAGTAGCTAAATTTTTTATTTTTTTTTGTCTGCGTTGGGTGTTTGTTTGTCTGCTAATGAAATAAGCTCTGCCAAGGGTTAAACGTATTTATAATGTCTGACTGAAGTGTGTGTAAGTACAGTAGCCTCTCCGCATTCTCCCTTTCTTGGCTGTTCCTGAGGCATACTAAAAAAAAAAAAAAAAGAAACACAAAAGCAGTTGGCAATTTCACGCCAATTTTTTTTGTGCTTTCCGCTTGTGCATTTTTGTTTTAATTTTTATTTTAATACCGCTGCTTGCATTCCCTTTTATTTTTTTTTGTCGTTTACGAGTATTTTTCAGAAGACAAGTAGCTACTCCGAGATTTATGCACTTGGCAAACACACAGCAGGGGTTTCCTTTCCGTCTGTTCGTATCTCTGTCCCTCTGGCCGTATGTCTCTCCTTACACGATAACTAATATTTATAAACGCTGAACACTTCAACGTTGAAAAAGTCAGCGGCATATCGCCCAAAGACGGCGGCCAACAAAATTTATCAGCGCCACCAGCGAAAGAAATGCGCAGCAAAAAAACAACAACAATAAAAACAGCTAAAATAGAAGCATAAGTCAAAGAAGAAGCTGTTGTATAACTCACAAGTGGGGAAAAAGGGTTCGATTTTTGGCACTTGCCCTTCGGGACAAGTTTTGTCTTTAGTTTTTATTTTTTATTTTTTGTTTGCTTTTTGTTTGTTTGTTGTGCCCCCTACTCTACAGTGCTGGCGCCCCCTAGCGTGGGCGATTGGTAATTTAATTTGAGCTGCGTCGTTTTTATGCCTTCCGATTAAATGAAGGCGCTGCGTGTAGCCTGATATAGCTAAAACTAGAACAATATATTTTTTATGCTCTTGTTTGTGTGATTCTTTTTTTTCTCTTTTTTTTTTTTTGCTAAATTGATTCTCGAATTGCTCCACAGTGCATCTATGGTTGTTATGTACACTCGGCCATATTGCCCACATTTCATCGCAGATGCTACTGGCTACTGCAGGTATGTGTGGGGTTCGAAGGGGGGAGTTACGCTTTCAGCTATTTAGTTACAAACACTTTACCCCAAAAAAAAAAAAAAATAACAGAATCCGGACATTGTTTTGGTGCATTATTTGAATGTGCCTTATCCGGATGATAATAAAATGGCCGTCATAGCGCCCAGCATAACGCTCTGGGGCGATAAGAAGGAGTGGACCAAGGAGGAGCTGGTTAGCCAACTGAAACCTATGCGTGAGTATTAATACATCTTTTATGAGTATGTCTATAAATAATTGTTTCTATTGGGCGCAGTATCCACGGTTAATTCGGATGAGGATTCCGACTCGGGCAATGACATAGAAATATCAGTGAGTATAACATTTCTAATATATAAATTAAAGAACAAGTGCAAGCTGACAGTAGCAGCTTCAGATACAGCATAAAATCAAAGATTATAACAGCTAACAGCTTAGTAGATAAGTAAATCTTGGAGCGACCAAAGCTACTTCTACCAGTTAGGATAACTTTTTTAGCAATTACAAATGTACTTTAAATTTGTACCCTGCAGACAGCCGAGACAGTGGAGTCGATTGTTTGCCAGCTGATGGAGAAGCAGCGTCTGTCGCGTCAGGCGGCTCTAGTCAAGCAGCTCGATTGTGGCTGCGGAGATGTAACGTGTGCCGATGGCAAAACCTGCACGCATCCCGTCATGCGACGCACGGGCGGCATACTCAAATCCGTGTCGGAGAAGCGGCCCAATGATGCATACAGCACCGCCAATGGTACGCCCAATGTGGTCGTGGCCAGCAAGGTGAGTTTAGACACGATTCGATTGATTGAAGCCGTAGTCAATCAGCTTCCACTTGCAGCTTTATTCGCGGTGGTCGGAGCGTCACAGGCAGCGTGAGGCTACTTTGCATTTGGACAATCCGCATGCGCAGTTTCACAATGCCACGCAGCAGTTGCCGCAGGAGTCGGCGATCAAATTTCAAATCATTCCGCAGCAGCAGCAACAACAACAACAACAACAGCAGGCCAATCACAGTGATGGCAACTATCAGCAGCAATATCGTGGTGCCAACCAAATGCTGGCCACAAGAAGTAATCTAATAATACAGCAACAGCAGCAGCAGCAGCAACAACAACAACAGCAGCAACAGCAGCAGCAGCAGCAACAACAACAATATCAACAGCAGCAACAGCAACAGCACTTGAATTTGCAGCGTTTTGTGGCCAGTCACAATCAGAGCAATCAGAGTCATAATCCACATAGTAACAACAACAACAGCAGCAACAATCCAGCACATTTAAATCATCGACTTCAAATTGCAAATACAACAATTACAGCAACAACTAGGGAGGCGGCAACAACAGCAGCAGTAGTAGCAGCAGCAACTGCCTCAAATATCATGGATACGGAACTAATTGAAAATCAAAGCCAGCAGCAACAGCAGCAGTTGACCACAAATGGCAACAAAATAAGCCACAACAGCAGCAATAAGCCATTAACAGCAGCAGTAACAACAACAACAGCAGCAGTCGTTGGCGCTCACACAAACAACGAATTAAATGTCGTTAATAATAATGTGCACAACAACAACAGCAACAGCAACAGCAATAACTTTATATACAATCAACAGCAGCATTCGAATACAAGCAGCAACAGTCAGCAGCAACAACAACAACAACAACAACATTATTATAAATTGCAACAGACAGCTACCCCCGGCAGCAGCAGCAACAGCAGCAGCAGCCAACCCCCAGTTGAGGCCATGTGCATGTCACCTGAGCATCACAGCAGCGGGGGCAGTAAAAATAACAACAACAACAACAGCAATCAGCTCACATCGGCAACAGCAACGTCTTCCGCTGGCAACACTCCTTCCATGTCGGCAACATCATCCACCTCGAGTTCCTTACAGTCGATTATCGATGGCAATCAGCAGCAACAAATTACAACGACAACAGCAACAACAACAACAACAGCAGCAGCAGCAGCAGCAACTTGTGATAATTTAATGAGCGCCAATTCGCTTGCTGAGGTAAGTTTTGAGTTTGGAGTTGGTGTTTATGACTTTTGCGGTTCAACCGCAAGTCGGCTGCACTTATGCTATTTATGTTGATTAAATTTCTATTTTACAGCTGGAGTTGGGCAGCAGCAGCGAGCAACAGCAGCAGCAGCAGGCGTCAAGCAACTACAACAACAACAACAGCGTCAACAATCAGGGCACGGATAAGGCCCAAATTCTCAATGGTTGTGCAAACTACAGTGCTTCCAGTGATAACAGTAGCCAAATTAGCGCCAGCGACGAGAGTAGCAGCTTTGGCGCCAACAACAACAATCCCATTAGCAGCAGCAGCAGCAACAACGACGATGAACAACCCCAAGCTGAATCCATGAGCTTCTTCAATGAGACGCTCGATCTCTCACACGAGGATATACAACGCACGCTTATAGCAAACATGCCGTTCAACAACAGCAACAACAACAACAACAACAACAACAACAGCAACAATAACAATAACAATGTAGTGGCAACAGCAACAACAGTAGTAACAACGACAGCACCAACAACAGCAGTTAACATCAGCAACAACAACGAAACAATTGTCACGCACCAACAGCAACCGCATAGTGTGGAGGAGACAGAGGGTGAAGATGAGGATACAGCTGATGTCTTTGCCAATTTGGATGCCTTTGATATGCTGGTGGAGTTTCCAGAACTTGATCTAGATGATAAACAGGCGCTGAACAACACAGCGCTGCAGCAGGAGCAAAATCTGGTACACAGTTCCTCTTATCTAGGAGCAGCCGCGCAATCGCAGCTGCAACAGTCGCAGACGCAGACGCAGCGCAAGCTGCTCAACATCTGTGACTTCAGTCCGGAGTGGTCGTATACCGAGGGCGGTGTTAAGGTGCTTGTCGCGGGTCCCTGGACCAGTGATGGTGGTTGCTATACGGTGCTCTTTGATGCACAGCCCGTGCCCACGGTTCTGGTGCAGGAGGGCGTATTGCGATGCTATTGTCCCGCCCATGAGGCGGGTCTGGTAACATTGCAGGTGGCCTGTGGCGGTTTTTTGGTCTCCAACTCGGCCATGTTCGAGTACAAGCTATCGCTGCTCGCGGATGCACCCTTCGATGCCAGCAGCTCCAATGACTGCCTGTACAAGTTCACACTGCTCAATCGACTCTCCACCATCGATGAGAAACTGCAGCTCAAAGTGGAGAATGAGCTAACGGTAAGTTTGATTTTGAGACATAATGTAGCCAAGACATCAGTCAACAGATCTCAAGTTGAGAGATCTCAAATGATGCACTGTAAATTCGGTTTTCTTGGCTCAATTGCAAACTCGAATGACCTTTTTCTTTTGCAGGCCGATCACACATCGTTGTATCTGGAGCCGAACTTTGAGGAGAAGTTGGTGGTTTACTGCCACCGGTTAATGAAGCACGCCTGGAGCACACCCAGTACTGCGGCCAATTGGAGTGTTGGTTTGCGTGGCATGACACTCTTGCATTTGGCCGCCGCTTTGGGCTATGCGAAGCTGGTGGGCGCAATGCTCAATTGGCGCGCCGAGAATCCACATATCATACTCGAAACGGAGCTGGATGCGCTCAGTCAGGATGTGCACGGCTTTACGCCGCTCGCCTGGGCCTGTGTGCGTGGCCACTTGGAATGCACATTACTGCTGTACAAGTGGAATCACAATGCTCTGAAGATCAAGACGCAGGCACAGCACACGCCCCTCGATCTGGCCAGCTTGAAGGGACACAAGCTGCTGCTTCAGCAGCTGTGCCGCTTGGAGAAGGAGCGCTGTCGCAAGCCCCAGCCGCGTGGCGGTCTAACTAATCTCTCCATGAATCTGGGCATTGAGTCAACAACAGAGGAGTCCGCCTACAGCGTCTACGAACTGGAGCTGCAGCGCAGGCATGATGGAGTCTTTCTGCGACCCGTGGCAATGCATAGGTGTGTTAATGAGAATATAGCATTTGTATATATTTGAGTGGAGTTGTTCTACACTTATTATAAAATTGCAGAATGTGCTCGAATTTATAGAAATACATATGCATTCGTCTGTTTATATTACAACAAGAGCAACTTAATATTTAAATAATATATTGTTAAAATTCGGACAAAAAAATCAACTGCAGTGTTTTTAAGAGAATGTCGTATAAACCGTGTTTTACTTCTTCCATAAAATTTATCTTGTTTTATTGGACATTCACTACATATTCGAACAACTATTAACCTATCGTATTTCTCGTTATAAATGCAGCAATCAAAGTCCGCCCAATAACAGCAGCCGCTACTCGAAGCGTTCCTCTATTGACAGTGGCATTAACATGGACATGCGGAGCAAATCTGGCAAACCGCTGGCACGACTGCATGGGTAAGTTTTGCAATCACTCCGCGATATGCACACATCTGAGCCAATCTTATCTCACTTGGGTTGCAGCAACTTTGAGCCGCATGACAACTATGCTCTGGGTGTGGACTCTCCACTGGACTCGTTGACCAACTGCTCGGGATTGTTGTCGCCGCTGCGCAAGATGGATTTTGCATTGTGTAAGTGTTGGATAATGCATGCGCTAATTGTTTTTTTTAGCCATATCAATTATTGTGTGCGATATACATATGCTAAAACAAACGACCTCTCGCTAAATTGTTGTACACACCAGGCGAGGTATCCACGGGCGAGTCGAGTCCCATACACGACAAAGACATCGATTGCGATGATGAGAATTCGACGAGCGTGACCGACGCAACCCTAAACAATGAGCTCAACGATGCCGTCGTAGGTCAGTGAGGCCTATCAAACCAAAAAATCTATGCTAACCTATTATCGTAATCTCGTAATCGTATTCGTAACCCGCTAAAACGGGTGACATCAAATTTAATATGCATTTGTGTATAGCTACCATATATCAACTATGGCTCTCTATCTCTCTGTCTCTCAATGTTGTTCGTTGCTGTTGCTAATTTTGTTGTTGCATATATATACTATATATATATATATATATATATACTTGTACTTGTACTATAATGTTATCTACACACAACTCACGTATCTGGGGTTTCAGGCTCCGCTCGACTGTTGTAAACGTCATAATATCTAAAAATAATCTATGTAAATGTTCATTTTTGATGTTGATTGCTGTTTGCTATGAATGTGTGCGTATGAGCATAATTATGAATATACCTAGTGTATTCATATTCATGTGAACAAGGTTATGGTCTGGTTTAAATATGTGTGCCACACATATATATATAACTGTATACTTGTTCAGAATATCTATATGTTTGATTAGAACTAACCATAAATGTGAGTTTTTATCGATGTACACACACACACACACACACTAAAAGTCACTAACTACAATGTAAATATGTTCAAAATGTGCTCATTCTGTAAATATAAAGTTTTTCGGTCCACGAAACTAACATAACAACTAACTAACACCATTCAAAATCGGGGGCAGCTTGAATAAGTAAAGAGCTTACTATTTCACAGAGAAAAGTATCAGCCATCAAAATATGGTCAAAAGTTTTCGCTTTTTTTTTTATTAACAGAATAAGGTGCTTCAATTTTAGATATCTTAATCATATTGCTACAAATAATTATATTAATTAATTAATTATTTCTATGTAATTAATTCGTTACACTGCATCTGTGGTGTTTTAAATAACTCTTTACAAATAACATTTGCATTGACTACTTACTGGGCTGCCCTCATAAAATTAACAAACTGAAGTGCTTGTCGATGTGTATTATATATAATTAAAAATAATAATAATAAAAAAGCACAGATAAAAAATTTGTAGATTTTTGATCTGTAAATGAACGCATCAATTTTGTTTAGCAACTTTCATTTGTGTGGTCTTATTTCAGGGGATTCAGATGCAAAGGTCCTAACACTAGCGGAACACATTATAGCAGCGATGCCGGAACGCATCAAGGTGATGGCTAATACAAATATCTCATTATAATGCTCAACTTATTTATTTTCTAATTATTTTTTTTGCCCACAGAATGAAGCGGATGAGATGATGGTGCTTGGCAGTCCACTGACGGAACCGCTGACCTCGGAGTCTTCGGCACTGACTGATAGCTTTATGGATCCGCTACTCGATTCGCTGCCGAATACGCATTTCGACAGTGATTTCAGTTTTGATTTTCACGATCATAGCTATCGCTATCACGATGTCAGCACACCTTGCTCCAGTCTAAGTCCGGCCAGTTCCGGACCATTGCAGTCGCCAGCTAGCTATTCCATACTGGGCACAGATCCATCGGTTAGCTCACCCAGTCCGCCGCCGTCAACCAAACAGCTGACGGAGTTTCTGCATGCCTCCAGCATATCGCAATATCCCTTCGAGGCGGATTTCTCCAAACTAACGCTTACGGATACGGAGCAGCGGGAGCTGTACGAGGCAGCCAAGTGCATACAGAAAGCATATCGCTCCTACAAAGGTCGCCAGAAGATGGAGGAACAGAACAAGGAGCGCACCGCAGCAATTGTTATACAGAACTACTATCGTCGTTACAAACAGTACGCCTATTACAGACAGATGACCAATGCGGCGCTGGTTATCCAGCATGGCTATCGATCGTATCGGCGCAACAAGCGCTTCAAGAAGTCCCAGCACACTAACAGTGGCATGGGCACGGGTAGCGAGCATGGCAGCGTTAGCAGCAATTCGCAGTGCCTCTCAAGTTTCTACGATCACTACAAGCAGGATCAGCAGCAACAGCAGGAGCTCAGCTCACAGCCTAGCACGCCCAAGGAGACGAGTCCCTCGGGTCCCTTAAAGTAAGTACAGAAATGGATTTATATACATTTTCATGTATAACTCATATTAAATATTATACACATTTCTATTCACAGGCGTACATATTCTCAGTCGACACAAAATCAGGCTGCCAGAAAAATACAACAGTTCATGAGACAATCACGCATCAAGTAAGTGCTAGCATTCAAAATACTTAGTTTTAGTCATTAGATTGTATAGTCATATCTGAACTTCAAATTGTAACTGTCAACTGATTTTGCACGCTAGCATTTGGGATAGCAACTTGACGACTTTGGTAAGATCACATCGGAGTATTGTTGATTTGCATAAATATCTCTGATTTACATTTAACGATGGTATAGTTTTAGCTAGTTATAGTTCAACTTAAACAGAGTTTCTCTGTTGGATAGTTAACCAAAATCAAATACTAATTCGTGCTTTTCACTCTTCATCACACAGACTACAGAGAGAGCGAGCCGAAAAAGAGAAGCTGGTGCACCAACGCAGGGCGGAATACCTTCAAAACTTGCAGTTTCAAGGGCAGCAGGAAATGTCAATATGCCATAGTGAGAATAGGTGCATATGTCTGACTATACCCATATATAAAAGTATTACTAATATATTAATTGTTACCCATTGCAGCAACAACAACAACAATAACAACAATCTGCAACACATGCAACCCAATCAATGAGCGCAACTTGCAAACTGAGTGAATTTTAATCATAAGAATATCACAAGAAGAAAGAAAAAACTATGTTCAATAAGAATTTATTAATAGCTTTAACAACTGAGTGAAACTTTCTACTTTCATAATTGTTTATTAAGACACGCAGCACCTCTTGTAGTCGAACTTTCGTTTCTTACTCCTAATATTATATATACTTATATATATGTATACAAATATGTAGTAGCAAGATCTGCACTTTTATTCATTTGCATAACGAATTTTAACAAATGTGTAGTACTTATATTTATGTACGTACTATCTACGAAACAAAATTAATTTTGAAATGCGGCAAACTTTGTAAACGAAGCGCATTTTAGGTTTAGTGCGTTTTTAAATACATATAATATAATATATGTATGTATGTATATCTTCGCGAGAGAGAGCTCTACTTTTCCATTTGTAAACTCAAAAGAACTTATTAACGAAGCCTTCGAAAACTTTTTAACTCCAAGTGTAGTGAAAAATGTAGTGTATGATAAATACTAATGTATATCTAATATAAATCAATATTATGCATAAGTGTATGCCCTATATAGTAAATAGTAGTTACATTTGTATATAATTAGCTCTAATTCTAAACTCCAGAAACTAGTCTATTTTACTGTATTATATTAAAATGCCACGTTTTTTGATTCAGCTCTGCGTACTAAGCTTGTTTATAAAACAGCCCCCGACAGCCTGTAAAATCTAAAGCATTAATTCTCGATTTTATCATAGTTGTAGTATTATATATTGTCTGCGCTTTACTCAAAGCTCAGCTCGAAAGTCCAATGTTGTTATTGATTTCTAAAATCGGAGCAAGCCGCAGCAGCGAATAATACATATGTATATCATGTTAAAAACATTTCTAGTTGATTTTTTTATGTATACTCTTTAAGCATGTACTAAAATTCTATGCTGATTTGCTTAACGCGGGTACTTAAAGCCAAGTCTTAAAATTGATGTGACTGTTTAGTCTAGCAACAAACATAGTTAATGATTATAACAAAAATGAAAACATTATGCTCGCCATGTTACTGCAGCAAAAATTGAAAAACAAAAAAAAAATGAATCTATAAATCTAACTATATTTAACAATTGTTCAACTTTCAACTGACCCAAAAATAAAAAATAAATAAATATATATATATTGTAGAAGCTAAGATTAAGCAAGAGCAGAAAACGATATTTTCGATTTTCCAACTAAATGTAACAATACAAGAATTTTTGTAAATTATTTTTGTCCGTCCACATTGTTAGCTTTCATAACATAAAAGAAATAAATATACTAAAAATAAAATTATATATACAATTTATACCAAATAATAAGCCACATTTTAAACGAAGCGTTGAAGTTTAAGTAGACAACAACTGGCAGATATTGTATAAACAGAACTACTTGAGTGAATGAATAATGCCCCAAATATACTTATAGAAATATTGGAACCTTGGCATACAAGTACATACAATTTATATAGACATACCTCCAGCATGCCTCAGACACCAAAATGGAATAATTCTTGTCATTTATATCTATACAAATACATAAGAATTGATACGTACACAAAAACTTACAGACACTAAAAACAAATACAAATACACTGAAATTAAATGTATTTCAATTTCTTGCTATTGTTAGGCATATGCAAATAACTCGTTGCATTGGGCTGTGAGTTAATCTATATACTATGTACGGAATATGTATGAGTTCGAATGAACCCTAAATTGGGCATAGGCACAGTTGTTGTGGGCTAACGAAAGCCATTTCTAGATCTATGAAAAAATTGTTAACTATTTAACTATGTCTAAACTTCATTTGCACCTACTCTTAACTTCAATTGCATTTCTTTGGATATAACTTAACTACTTATGTACTTATGTATAAATCGAAACTAATCTGAAATGAAGACTAAAAAGATTTCTCTACTTAATGACTTATAAAGATTGCAATCAATTTGAGAGCAACGCGTAAACCATTTATGCAAAGCTCTTTTGTTACTTGTTACGTCGCCGGAATGTAAAAAGATTTGCAATATTTGCACATATATACTTAATAATATTACAACTACTACACACAGACACACTCACACACACTCTACACTAAACTACAGTCTTTGGCAATATCACACAAAAAGTGGGCGTGGCTAGGGAGTCAACAAACCTGAGTGTGTTTAAGCTCGAGCTAACAAAATAAATAAATCTAACAAAAAGAAAAAAACAACAAAAAAATGCCAAAAGGCAAGGAAAAACTTAAAGTACCTTAAGCCAATTGGCACTAAAACTTAAATCTAATAAACCATTTAATTTTTAATTAAAAAACCAGACTATTATGCTATCATAAATGAAAAATAACTAACGTACATAGAAATGTTTGTAAGTAAACGCAAAATATTTAAAACTTATCCATTAATGGGATGGATATTACATTAATGCCCTTGCTAGTTTTATAGAATCCACTTTTTCCAAATGTTTTAAGTATGACTATAAACACTCTATAAAACTAAAAACAACACCAATTGTTGATATTCGATAAAATTTGATACTTACAATCTATTCTAGCTAATGTACGACATGCTGATAATTGGTATTCACATATCTGTTTTATAATTGGAGAATCCCCCATTTATATAGATAGACTATGTCCTAAGAACTTTCAGAGTGCTATTCGCAAATCCGAAAGTGTTATAACAACTCTCATAAGTCCCAGATCTAAAAGGAAAACAAATTTCTAATTGAAACACCAACTAATTATGTTGTTTAATTGTATGAATTTTGCACCCGACTTTGTAGAATGCAATGCAAATTTTTGAAAATGTAAGAAGAAGAACAAGATGAAACTGTTAACTCAACTTTTATGTCACATATAGCGTAAAAACTTTTTAAATAATATATACATACATACCTACCTTATTATGAATTATTCAACATGAACATACATAAATCTAAATTTATAATTATACAACAAGTAAAGGATGATTAACGTTATTAACAATGATAAAACGTATTATATATAAACGCTATATGCATATGTACTATATGCTAATATACATATTGTAAAACGACTTTCCAGTTTATGTAAAATTGTAATTACATTCAATAAAGTTTAATTCAACACTTTAGTTGAACTGAACGCATTGTCTACTTCAATGACTCCTCCAGTGAGACGTAACCATTAACTATCCTCCATTAACAACGTCATGTGTGATAAGTTGCATCCTGTCACACCTACAACAGTACCCTTGAGAGCCGACCCGAGATACTCTGTTGCGTTGAGAACTTAACAAACTAATTAGGAGTAATCAATTTGTCTGCAGCCGACAAAGAGCTGGCGCCATCAATTATCAATTAAGCTATAACCTTTACTTAACCCTATTTCTCTTTTCTCTCTGCTTTACTTCTATCTCTGGGAGAAAGTCAGCGCCTAAGATGCAACATGTGGCGCTGATAAGAGCGAACGCCCTGTAATAATATGTATTTTACCTGCGTTGCAGCTGCAAACATTTTCCTTTCCCTCTTCTGTTTTTTTTTATATTTTTTTTTTTTTTTTTTTTTGTTTTGGACTCAATTAACACTTGAGCATTGTCTGTCGATTAGCCTGTTTCGTTCGAGTTTTTGTATCTGTTGGATGCATTTTTTCCTAATTACGAACTCAATGCAAAATGCCATTTGCAATGCCTTGTTAATATATTGCCGACCTTTGCAAATGTAATTGGATGCTGTTGTTGTTATTATTAATGGCCCAAAGCCTTCCTGTCTGTTTTGCCAGATCAGTTTACACCTGTTGTATGGGCAATCGCAGTTTAGCCCAAATTCCCAAAGCAAATAACGTATCAAATGCCTTCTATGACAAATGCGATTTGATGCAGTCATTCTGTTTTAGAGATGGGTATTCGAGCACAATTTGAATGAAGGCACGAATTCAAATATGCATTTCCACCGTTGTGAAAATAGTTATTTAATTCATAATGAGCGAATCAGATACGTAACTGTCTGATGCAAGAAATCATGTTTCTTTTAAGGTGATCACTTCTCATTATCTGTTGCCAGTTCGTGTCACGACTGTAGGCACGACTTGCGCTCAACTCTAATCCTAAAGTGATGTGATCTGTCATCGTTACGTGGGCAATCCGGCCCAGCGGCAGACTCAGGTTGGACCGCTTCAGTGGCGCAACGGAAGCGCCGTGGGGAAATGTGAAACCAAGCGTTGCTATTCTGATTCCCGTTACTGTTCCCGCTAAAAAATAACAACAGCAGCCCCAACAATAATAATAATACTTCAAAATATATAAACAAAGTAAATAGATTTAATTACGCCCACTACTTATTTTGGTTTTTGTTTGGCTCTTGACAGATTGGTTTATTAGCTGGAAATTTTGAGTAATTTTCATTTTGTTTCACGGTTTTGGTTTTTATGCGTCTGGCCAAGTTGCAAGTGGCACTCTTACCGTAGTTAACCTTCTGTGCTGTGTGCACACTATTAATTAAATGGTTCCACCTGCTGGTTCTATACATTTTTCACTATGTATTTGGAGTGATTTAATGCTATTCGTTAATCAAAAGAGTTAAGCTACAACTAAGAAGACATTCAGAGTGATCATTTTCTGATCAATTTAATATTTAGTTAAGCAATGCATATATTTGTTTAATTTGGATATTGAGTTATACCAATTCAGCTGAATTTTAGCAGTAAAAAAGTTATTGTCGCAATTTCATAGCTATAAGTTGGTGTTAGTAATCTAGAATCGATTGGCTGTCATAAAGTCTGACGCCATTGCATGAAATTGTGATTAAGCAATTAAATGTCTTTACTTTGACAATCTTAGCAAATAATAAAGTCTATGGTCAGTACTTTATAGACACCTCTGGTATGTGGGTCATAAGATCAACTTTGATTGGAAGTCTAGCTCAATAGGGGGCCAAGCCAGCAATGTTCTATACTCGTCTTCTGCTAGAATATACCCTGTATATGTTTAAGCCACAAGTAATTATGTGTATATAAATACCTTAAATTCATTTATTTTTATTCAATGCTTCTTTTATTTTTAGCTTCTTTTAAGAGATTTAAAATATTAAATTGAATATGGAAACATTGTGTATTTATGAATCTTCGAACCATCCATAGATTGACAGAGAAATAACACCATTATATATATATTTATTTATATATATATTTTTTTATAATTTAGATTTCTCCTTAAATCTGTTAAGTAAAATTTGCTTACAACTTTATCACTCTTTTTTCACGCAGTGTATATCAAAACTCGCAAAAACGGCACAGCTGTCACGACAATGAGCCGTAAATCTTGGTAATACTCAAAGAATGGCAACAATTATTGGCCATTTGATAGAGAGCTTTACAACTTAGCCATAAGCCGGGGCAAGGTACCGTCGGTACCAATAACTATTGTCGACGGGCTCATCTTTCTCGGAACCAAATTGCAGTTAACGTCAGAGATGAGTCACGTTTGCCAATCTAAAATCGAGAGGTGCTCACAATCAAAACTAAGTATAGCACTCGATGCCAAACAATGGGCATTTAATGGCATGACAAACACCTGTGCATGTTGTTGTAGTTGTTGCTTGTGATTTGCTGATTTGCTGAGTTATGAACTGTGTTATTGTCTGTCAACGCTTCAACAAAATTGTTGTAAATTAACGTAATTGCATTTAATAAGCCATTGCAACGTTGGTTACTTACGTTACTTAAAACATCATCAATACTCGTAAATAACTTAAGTCTCTGTGTTTGGGACTAAAGCCATGCTAAACTTGAACATTGAAATAAACAACGCTGCTGCATGTGTGCTGCACAAAAATTTGCATAAATAGTAAATCAATTAAAGCGACACGTATCCAAGAAATGCATTAGAGTTGGCCCACAGGAGACAGCTGAAACTGCACCGGATCGAACATACTGCATACCCCTACCACCCACTCCCATCTGTATCACCTTGCCACCCCTCTGGCAGCATGTGTCAAGCTGTTTTGTGACTGGCTGAGCGACTACCACAAATGGCGGTGGCGTGGCAGAAGCGCAAAGTTAGCCAGTTGAAACAAATTTCACAACTGGCCAACAGGCTGTAAATAACCGACAATAAATCACTTTAAACAAACTGCTAAAAAAAAACAAAACAGCAATAACAACATCATCGAAAAATACAAAAATTATTTGTAAAATAGTAAGCTGCAAATCGCAGTTGTTGTTGCAAACTTAAACAAGTTGTAAATTTGTGAGAAAAAAATGAAAAAGATAAAAGAAAAAAACAGCAGCGTGAAAAAACACTTGTAAATACACAGTGATGAACATGATTTGTGCGTGTGTGTGTGTGTGTGTGTGTGTGTGTTTCTGTATTTTGAGCTGCGCTGACAAATCACCTGTTGCTTATTTGATAAATGCTAAGGAGTCCAGCTAACGAATTCTTGACATTAACCCACTGGCGATGAGGGGCCGTTAACACGACTTTTACCCGCATCGATAAATAATTGATTTGATTGCCGTCACAATTTGAGGAAAGCTTTCCCAAGCCATTATCATCCGCAATAATGGGCTTTAATGGCTTGAATGACGACCCCAGACGCCACTCTTGTTGTATTCATTCCAGTTGCCGCAGTCACGTGCAAGGATCTTTGCATAGCCGTTGATCAGCGAGCGCCTCCAACATGTTGCAAGCCAACCAGCGAACATAACGAGGGCAGGGCGAAATGTTATGGCTAAATGGTAGTAAAACTGGTTTGTAGGTTACGATGTGGTATAAAGCATTAATAATAGCGAGATTCGAATGTTTTCAGTGAATGTGTTTTGCATTTTACAATGTCATTAAATATACTTTAAGGATAATACTAGACTATCTGATGAAAATTTAATAAATGTATATGAATAAATTGCTATTGGAATATATACATATTTATTTAAAAAGATTTAAGGCAAGAAATAAAAGTATTTGTGGAATAAATTGACTTGTTTGTAAACACAATTTGACAGTTTTAAATGAATATACATAGTTCCTTCAGAATGACCTATTTTCAATAGTGAATTTTAATCGATTTTCTTAATATTCGCCATGTTCAACAGATTTTAATTTTAATAATATTATTAACCAAACAAGATTGTTATAAAATGCTCAGTTTTTCAGAAAGGCCAAACTGAGAAGTAGTTAAAAATGTTCCCACTCCTCATATAATATGGCTATTCACTGGCTATTAAGCAACTCTTTGTGTAACCCTTGTTCACCCTCAGCTTCCTCGAACTTAGCTCAAACATGTTCGCTGCACCAGCTGATTGAATAGTTTGTTTGAATTTCGTTCAACTGGCAGTTTGCCAGTTCTTATACGACATTCGCGTCAAGCGGTTGACCCGGGTCCACAATAACAAACCGAGTCCAAACTAAAACCCGAACCAAAAGAACAAAAACATCGCCTTCGTGTCGTGAAGTTTCGTGTCGTGTCGTGCCGCGGAAACCTTTGCATTTGGCGGCTCGGGTCTTTAATTGTGTCACTAATGAGCCGCATTTATGTTAATCTTGGCACCCGGGCAGCAGCAGCAGCAGCAGCAGCAGCAGCATAAGCGGTTGTCGTCTAAGCTTTCAGGCGATCGTATGTTGGATGCCGACGGATGCTTCCTGCACAGCGAACGCATCTTTATCGCGCTGTGAATTAACATACAACATTCAAACACTCGCAAGACTCACAATGGGATTCACAGACTCGGCATTCAGCTGAGTATTTCTTCTCTTCTTGCTTTTTTTTTTTTTTTTGGTAGTTTTCACCTGCTGTGCCGTTTATGGTTATTGCCGCAATTTCGTTGTGACAGTCGGAGGCGCTTTATCATAAATTAAAAAGTCGTGTAGTCGGACAGCCGGACAGTCGGACAGCAGATCGGCGGACCCGTGTGGAAGGCAGTCGTGTGGCTGCTTCTTTGCGTGATTCGCGGTCAGTGTGGTGCGTGTGGTGCGGCGATTTAGTGGCTGATGAATGATGCTGTTGAAGTCGGAGTCAAGCTGACGTTGAGGCTGAGTTATTTGCATGAATGAAACGCAACCAGTGATGAACGAGCTGGCATGTCTTAACAGTGTTAGCCCCGAGCTCGATTCCATCTTCGCGCTCGCTAGCGATGACTTAATTTAAAACTACTGCCAGAAGGTGTTAATTAGCATATGAACCAATACACATAAAGTATTTCGGCAACACATTTCTTATTTGGACTCTGTCGCGATCTCCATTCACATCTCAGTCGGGTTTCTATTTAATGCTATCGTCTGCGCGTTTGGCTCATTAATAATCAAAATAAGCTGCAGTATCAAATGGCAGCGATTTGTCACTAAATATCTGTGCATATAAACAAAAATAATAATAAAAAAAACGCGTCCAGGCTCATAACTCCACAATCTTAACAAAACAAGAGAAACAACAATAATAACAAAATGCATGCTGTAATTGTGCAAAGCTCGACAAATTTCCTATGGGCAGTTGTGAAGTTTCGAATGCGCACATTTAGTGTGAAGAGAATATGATGATACTCGTCGAACTGTTCGCATTTGTGTTTGCCTTAGTGTTTGTGTGTTGTGAGTGCCTTGCGTTTTCTCTTACGACGTAGTCATGTGGAAAATACACAATAAACTCTTAATATATTTACTCTGGATTATGGAAATAAGGTAAAGTACCAGACAAAAAAGGTCATCCACAAATCACCTTATTCTTCTCTTCATTATTCAAATTAATCTTGGCCGAACTACCTAATATGCTTGTATGAATAATATAAGATCAATCGTTTTGTCCGAATGCTAAATAGAAACGTTCTATTCAAATATTGCTTAGATTTGGTTCTTAATGACGTGACAACTTTTTCTAAACATGGTTCAACGGTGGACAAGTGGCGAAAAGTTGTACAGACACAGTAGATGGTGTTGAATTATTATATTATATTTTATATTATTTATTATTTTATTTTATATTTATTTATAAACTATACTTCAAGTTGAATATCAAGATTTGGGCAAGTCTTAATTACCATTTTGTATTTATATCATGTCATATTTAATTATTATTTAATTGAATTGAATTTGAATAATTCAAAAACATAATTTAAGTTTTGTATTTTATTTCACTGATTTAGTAGAAGCAGCATGTTTGCTATCTAAATAAACTATAAATGATATACAAAGACACCTGCAATACTCGTCAAATAGTGCAGTGTATAAATCATTTCGTTGTAAGATACATGCACAGATAAATAGCTTTCTCGTTGTGTTTTATCAATACAAGATCTCGCACAAGTTGACAACTGTTTCCTCTCAGTGTTGTCTCAACAGTTAAGATCGCCACAATCGCTGATTTTCATCGCGGCAACTGTGAAAATGAGTTGTATGTAAATAGTTATCAGCAGACGCCCAAACACAATACGCCCAAATCGTAGCTGAGATCGTCGATTCTAGTTGAGAGCAGGCGTCGCAAAAAAGGAAAAAAAAAATAGCACGTACACACACACACACACACACACACACACACACAAATAAACCGAGAGCGGGAAAAACGCTAAAAAAAAAAAAAAGAAATCTCATTAAAATGGGCAATTAAATGACGGCAGCAGCAAGTAAAACCAACTGACAGACAGACAGACTAGCAGAATGACAGACAGACAGACAGACAGACAGAGAGACAGAGAGACTGAGAGACGAACGATGCTGCAGTTGACTGCCACATAACGAATGCCATTTTCCAAGTCAAAACACAGTTTGCCAATCAAAGCTGGCTAAAGGAGCAACGGGAGCAGCAGCAGCAACAACAACAACAGCAACCACGAACGACAACTGGAAATCAATTTTTGCCATAAACTCATCAACGTGCCTGGCTAGCTGTGTGTGTTTCGGCTGCTATCTAATTGCCTTGGCGCAGTCAGTTGCAAGTATCTTCAAGATACGCGCTGCCTGCTGCTGCTTCAGTGGGCTGGTCTTGTGGGCAGCTACGCCGCCGCCATGGCGGCCAGATTAACAACAATGCGCATCAAGAGCAACACAACAACTCTAACAACAACAACAACAGCCACAACAACAACAGGTATGAAGCAGGCTTTTGACCACTTCACAGGTTGCTTCTCACACATCTGTGCCCAAAAAAGGGTCTTAACCCAGAAACGCAGCTACAACGCTTGTAATTGGGGTTACTGCAATTTTAAAGCACCTCAAATGGCATCTTGTTATTGCACACTAAGAAAAAAATTTAGAAAGATGTCCTGGCATACAGAAATATTTTCTAAATCGGCAAATTATGTGTTTTGCTTTAGCTTTTGCAAATAATATATATTTTTGAAAGCCAACATTTTATATTTAATTCCTAAACTCAAAATAAATCTTCAAGATAAAAAGTTCTTCGTGAAAATCCCTGAAATACATTGTTTTTAAAGCTAAGAAATATGTATTTTGTCGACAAACGAAACTCAGTTGCAACAATTGCATTGCGCTTTTGAGGGGCACATAGGATTTTTTTTTAGAGTGCAGCAGAGGCAGAGATACAATGAGATATAGAGAGTGGTGGAAACTTGCTCGTTACATGCATTGGAACAATTGCAACTCATGAGCTTGCAACGTGCAGACAAACGCTTAAATTGTGATCAAGATCGTCGTAAGTCGCTGCAGTTACAAGCCCAAAAATGGCCTTTAGAGTGGTTCCTGTTGCCAGCCAAAGTCGAAGTCAAAGCCAACAGTCACAAGCTCAACTACAAACACAGTTAAAGCCAATGCTGTGCGGGAGCCGTTGGCGGCGATGGTTGGTGGTGGTTGGTGGTGGTGGTGGTGCTTGGCGGTTGGTTTTGTACTTTGGATGAGTGATCGACTCGAGCACAAACAAAACAATCTGCGCTTGATCTGTTTGTCTGGCAAGCCAGCTGGCCAAATGACTCTTGGCCAGTTGTTGTGGCTCTGACACTGACTCTGCCTGCAATTGCCAATTGCCCATGACGAACGATCCGTTTGGGCTTTTACCTGTTACCAGTTAGTTGGCCAGCCTAGGACTGGCTACAGGCATACGTCTTTCGCGGCTCAATTACGACGTCCGTTTTGTTGCCGCGATTTTGGCCGAGCAGCGCGCTTTATTGTTGTATTTGTTGTTGCTGTTGTGATTGCCTCGCCATTTGTCTGTCGCGTGGCAGCGACATTTTTCTTGGCCATTGCCAGAGTGCCAGGCTCTCTGGTATTCTGTGGCTGTTGTTTTCTTCCTTACGTACTAATACTCACTAACATTTAGATAGGTAGATAGGGCATATTGAAAGTATGCAAAAGCATATAAGAAGCAGACCCCATAAAATATATATATTTGAATCAGGAAAATCAGTTGTAGTCGAGTCTATGTCCTAGTTTAATAAACTCACAGATTATAGGAGCTTTCGAGCTGAAATTTGAAATGTTGATACGCGATAGAAATATAGATTTCTGTCTGTAATATGTTTGAGTTCATTAGAAAATAGGGACATCAACAATATTTATTTATTTCGAATACTTCTCCCAATTACAACATTTAGAAAATAGCATTGCCTTACAGCCCTCAAGCCAATTATAAATCGGTTAATAAACAAGCAATTTATTAGAGAATCAGTTGACTAAGAATAGGGTAACTTGCAGTCGTGCATTTGCACTTGGGGGATTCTTTCTTGTTTTATTGATGGCATGTTGAACAGCTTTTATGGGTTTTCAGTTTTGTGTTTTGGGTATTTTGTACTCCGGACTGGGCATTCGTATGGTGCGTGGCGGCTCCTCCGGCGCCGCCCACTTTACATGCAGCTGGACAATGCAGCTTGGCCACAAAAAACTTTCAAACTGAGCCAAAGACAAATCCAGCGAGCTACACAGCCAGCTCAGTTGCATTGTTTGGATTAATGTGACTCTGTGGCTTCCGCCTCCAATTGGCGCTTTATTTTGGCTCCACACTCGTAAATTTGCAGCCGGCAGGCAGAGCGCCATGAACATGTCAGCGAGCCATGTAATTACCAACAGCAGCAGCAACAGCAGCAGCAGCAGCTACAGATACAGATATTGCTAGAGATCTAGATGCAGCCAGTTACACAGCTCCTCACTGCACCCATATTTTGAAGTCCCCCTTTGAAGCTTTGAGCCGAAGTCCAGCAAGTAGCTACGAGAGACAAAAGGCTTAAAGCCCAATGCCGCCGCCTTCATTCCAAGGTAATTGGCACAGCGGTGGGTCGCTTGGGCCTAGATACTAAATATGTACATGCTAAAAAAACAAATAGGCTATCAAAAGTTTGCAAGATACTAGAAAAAAATAAAATAAAAATTAATAAGAAATTAGGCTATCAAGATACAAGATACATAAAGGAATTGATTCAGAGTATTCGTGAAATGTGGAATATTTTATTATTAATTCTCGAAAGCAGATTCTAAGCTTAACTTTCTTTGTTATTTTTTGGTTGACTAACGCATTTGATTAATGATTATACACATTTGTAAATATGACTTTCATTTAACACAAAAGCTGACTCAGTTTTAGCGATTGCTTAATATAATAATAATAATTGATAATAATAATATTTCTTGATATTATGTGTTACTTTAGAATTAAAATAAATAAAATAGCTGCTTCAGATAAATTTAATTAATTTATTTTTAAGCAATTGTCCTTGAGACTAGTTTTTATTGAAGTCTCAAGTTAGTTTGCTATTGTTTAATTTCTCGAAGTGTATTTATGACTGCCCTTTTGGGATCAGTCTGGACTTGGCCCCAGGTCTGAGCATAGCTCGACTTGGGCCCAGTTACGCGTTTGCGCATTGGCTCAAGTTTTGTCTGGTCTGCAACGCCTGCGCGTGAAAATATTAAAGTCATATTTTTATGAGCCTCCGAAGTGCGCATTAAGAGTGTTGGTTGTTATAGTTGCTGCTGCTGCTGCTGTTGCTGCTGCTGCTGTTTTTGGGTTATTATTGACTCGCAGTGCGCTTAAGCATTTATGTTTATGCTTTGGACGAGATATAAGTGGTCAGGCTCCCGAGTCAGCTTCAGCTACAGCTCCAGCATCAGTTGGTCTTGTTGTTGTTGTTGTTGTTGTTCTTGTTGCTGCCTGCCGCGTGTTGCTAATTGGCGTTGCCTGCGCATGCGGTTAAATTATGCGACTGGCCTAATCCATTTTTAATGATAGTCGGCCGCCAATTCGGTTAGCTGAAGGCAGCAAATCACATTTTTGATTTGCGCCCCATTTCAATGATTAGCCAATATGCCCATCGATGGCAGACGCAATTTGTTCGACTGTCCAAAATGGACAGACCACAACATAAAATTGTCAGCAAAACTAGTTTCGATCAGTTAAATGCCATCAATGAACAAATAAAATTAAAAAAAAAAAAAAAAAAACAATAAAAATGATCGTTTTTGCAGAGGCGGAAATAATTTACGGGAAAACAGGATCTGATCTAGTTACATTTTCTTGATAACTATAACGCATATGTAATAGAAATTTTGTAGTTTTACTTTGTATATTTGGCATGATTGAAGATTTATTTATTTGTTTGCAAATATTTCAAACAAGTTATTTGCCAAAAACTCGTGAGGCAAACAGAATTGACATCATTCGGTGATTTATAGTATTTAATAAAAATGTCAGAGCTAATTTTAGCAGCATTTTGAATATTAATAAATGCGATTTTGGCAGTTGTTGGATTTCTAAACATTATCAATACATACGATCTGTTGGCATTGTAAGTCTTTAATTGAGTTGCTGATTTCCAAACAGTCGCATATCTATTGGAGCGGAAATATATTTTTAATTATGTTGGCAACCCTGGCGAAAATCAGTGATATCCAGTTCATGACAGGTCCTTGCTCTCTCACGCATCACACGTTTAGCTGGGAATCAGAATCTAAGCCGCGGTTGCAGCAAAACAAAACAAGAAAGGGTCACGAAATGAAGGCGAGACCCAAACGCAAACCCTACGCTTTGATCTAGAGCTACAGATTAAAGAGCTTGGCCTGCAGGAACAACAGCGGAATGAGAACGAACGGGGGACAGAGGGTATGGCATCTCTAAAAAGCGGAGCAGGAACAAAGCACAAATCAAGTACACGTGACTTGGACTGTTGACGCTGCGTATGAAGTGGTGCTGAGAATGGATATGCCATGGGATGGTTTTGCAATGGGATGAGTTGATGATGAAATTGTCGACGTTGACATGCAACAGGCAATGGGGCAACAGCGCACTCTAAGTGGCAGCGACAAATTAAATAAAGCACGAATAAAAAGCAAGAAAATAAAAAGTTTGATTCACACGCCGAAGATTATATACACTTGCAGACAGGAGAACGGCTGCTCAAAGAATATTTGAATATTCTCGAACCTCTAGTAAGACAGGTCAGGATAACTACATAGAAATCCGTTTAGTTTTGATCAAATTTCAGATTGTGAATAGCTTTCACTCATCACTACATGAGAAGTATTTATCCTTTGTCCGACAGTCATGCCAGGTTTATATAAAAGTTCCGACATATTTATTGCCTGCAGGAAATAATATAGCTATAGGATATATATAAAAATATAGCTTTAAAACTAACTAGCAGAAGTCTTAAAGCTAGCAGAAGTTTTAAAGCCATGACATATCGACACGGCCAGTGGTGCTGATCAGGAATGAAAATTCAATGGATCGGGATATACATTTCATGACAAAATTATAATACCCTTTTGCCAGGGTATAGCCATTTTGTTGAACAAAACTGAGGCAGCAACTAAAGCTTTAAAAAACAAAAGGCCGCGATGAAAAGAGAGAGATTGCTGCCCTTTGTTGTTGTTCAAGTTGTTGTTGTTGTTATTGAGGTGGGCATGACGGTCACGGTATGCGAACGCACGAAAAGCTATTGACTGACTGACTGACAAACGGACTGAACGGATGCGCTGCTGACAGATCGATCAACGGAGTTTAACAAAGTTAAAGTTGAAGGTTGGCTGGTGGTTTGGTGGTTGCTGGCTGGTGGTTGCTGAAGCATTGCAAGCCAATGGCCATTGTTTTTGCTGCTGCTGCTGCTGCTGCTGCTTCGATCGCATCCTGGCGTGGTCGTGCCTGTTAAACGAGCCTAATTATTAGTTTACTACCAATTTTGGACTTGGGGCTCGGCAGCATGTTAACAGCATGTACGACAAGTCATGAACAGCAACAGCAACAATAACAAAGATTGTTGAAATGAAAACGATCGTCGGTTGTCGATGGTCGTTTCCAGTTGCTGTTGTTGTCCAGTTGAAGGGTTAATTTGTGCAGCCGCCCGAGGACATGATCACAGAGTCTCTCTCTCTCTCTCCTCCCCTCGCGTGTGTTCCTGCCTTCTGTAAGCAGTGTAATTTTTGTAAATTGATTTAATTGGCCCAATTAAAAATGCGTTGTAAGCGAACTCGCACAGCAGACAAGAGAGAGAAAAACATACGGCGAAAGCAACGGGGCCAAAACGATTGCAGTGCAGCTATTGACAACCAGTTGGCATGGAATTAACAATCGGCATTTGGCCCGAGGATGTAGCACAGCTGTATGTCTCAGACCTCTCCAGCTTCAATATGGAGCTGACCATGTTGGTCATGTTTCATATCTCTTTTTTTTCTTTCTTCTTTTTTTTTGGCGCCTGCGCAGCTGTTTGATTGGTTTTGTTGTTGGTGCCAATCGACAGGTAGACAATTGCTCGTTATTGCATCCACTGGAATGTTATTTTCTAAATAGATGTGTGTGTGTGTGTGTGTGTGGGACGTGGCTACACGAGCTACAAATTCCATTTACAATAGTCTTCCTACGATTTTTGAGTGATTACCGTTTGTGACTTGCTTAATTTGAGAAAATAAAGTCAAAAGAATCCAATGAAATAGTTATGCAAACTTCGGATCAAGAAAATGCAATAATAAAACCAATTATTGTCTCTGAATAATAACATTGTATTAAAACTGTTTCAACAATATTGTTATTAACACAATATAAATACTTAATATGCTCGAAAATGACTTCATACAAAGTCGAGACAATATTGCAGTAGCCATTGAAAGCGATGTAGCCAACAGAATTGGTAACGTTGCCAATATAAAAATGTAATTAAAAGTACATGTCATAAATACAAAATAATCCCACAGCTAAAAAATCGCTTAACAGCTAAAAATTACAAGTTGTGTTTGTTTTGGTTTGTGAAAGGTATTTCAGAGTTTCCAATTTTTTGCATAGCCGGCAATTTGCAAGTAATTTTCATGACTCGATTAATCCAATTTGACTTAAGCTGTTAGTTATTAGCTGTTAACTAGTTTGCTATATGGCATTAGCGTGCACTTCGTCAATTAAGTCAGCATCTTTTGAGCCCAACTGGCAAAGGGGCTCACAAATTTAAAGCCTTGATTAGACATTCCAAGCTGAGCTAAGCTTCTCCATTATTAGGCGGTGAGATGCATATAATTATGGCTAATAATACAGCTTGCGGCATTATTTTGACTAAAGCTGACAGTAAAACTGTCTACGCCCCCCAAATGCCCGCCACTCACTCACCTGCCCCAATCGCGCAACAACAACAATCAGCTTGAATTGAGTTGAACGCTGAACGCTGAACGCATTAATCTTGGCTTGAATGCGGCACATTTTGCTTTTCCATCGGTCCATTCATTGGCTGGCCGGCTGGAACTGTTAGCCGCTAAATGCTGACTCGTGGCCAGTTGTTCGGTGCTTGGTTGGCTGTTTGTTTATTTGTTCATGTTGATGCTGTTGTTATTGTTGTTGTTGTTGTTGCCTGTTTTTCCATGGCAATGGCAAAGGCGGCAAATGAAATGGAAATGAATTGATCGCTGGCGGCATTTTATTGAGCACCGAGCACGATTTCTCAGCCATCGATCGATCCACATTTGCTTATGCATATTTCTTGCCATATTTAATTTATTGTTTACCCAATGCGATGGAGTTGTTGCTGCTGCAGTCGTCGCTCTTGCTGTTGCACTATCGCTGGTGGTCAGCGTTTAGTGTTTGTATGACAAACAAAGTAAGAGGTGAAAATTTAATGAAAATGTCAAGTTTTTGTGATCAAAAATATTTGCTATATTCGAAAGGAATTCCCGATTCTCCTTTTGAAACTAGCATTTTTGTTTTGAAATACATTTACTAATTTTAAGAAAGTTCTAGTTTACTCGTATATTGAGCAGGATATCCACGTTAGTATCTTTTAATATAGGCCAACAGAGTTTGGGAATAAAATAGATATAGAGTCCTCAAAAGATAGAGAAGATATGAAAGTCCCCAAATTTTATGCATCAAATGCATTTTACTGAATCGTCAAGCAAATAATAGTTTCAATCTTAGTTGACTGAAAGAATTGCAAAGCCCGTTAAGCCTAACCATTAACGTTATTTAAATTCACTTAAAACACATTTATTTGACATTAGTATACATTATGATATTTATATGAGAATTAACGATCTGATTTCTCGTCAGATTAGTATCCAGCTTTACGTCCGCCATGCTCTGTGGCCGAATCCCAGGTCTAACGCAGGCGCAGCGGCAACTCTGCAGCGAGATGCCCGATGCATTGATCGCTTTGGGTGAGGGTCAACAACTGGGTGCACACGAGTGTCAGCATCAGTTTCGGGGGCATCGCTGGAACTGCTCCGAGGTGTGGCAACGCAATGTATTTGCCCATGTCATACCCATAGGTAAGAAGGAGGAGTTGAGGAGTAGAAGCAGCAATAATCATTCACGCCTTGTTCAGCTTCTAGGGAGGCCGCTTACACCTATGCAATAGCCAGTGCTGGAGCTGCCTATGCGGTGACCGCTGCCTGTGCACGTGGCAACATCTCGATGTGCGGCTGCGATGTGCGACACAAGACTTCGCCGCCGGAGCCCTGGAAGTGGGGCGGCTGCTCGGCGGATGTGGAGTTCGGCATGCGATATACGAGAAAGTTCATGGATGCGCGGGAGCTGGAGCGGGACTCGCGTACGCTCATGAATCTGCACAATAATCGCGTGGGGCGAACGGTACGTATGGGTAATAAGTCTACAGATCAGAACAATAATAATAATCAATAACTTCAAATAAAAAACCATATGACAGTCAGGGCAAATCATTGTATTAATATAAACTACGACAAGCTAATTTTGAGTTTATTTCTTATTTTATAGTTGGTGAAGAAGCTGCTCCGCACGGACTGCAAATGTCACGGGGTGAGCGGTTCGTGTGTGATGAAGACGTGCTGGAAGAGCCTGCCACCATTTCGGCTGGTCGGTGAAAAGCTGATGCAGAAATATCACAAAGCCAAAACTGTTCAAGCCGTTAGAGGCAAACGTGGACTGAGATTAGTATTAAGCAGGTGAGTTCTCTCTTTCTCTTTTTCTGTCACTTTCTCTATCTCTCTCCTTCCCAAAATGAAGCTCTAAAATTATTAATTTTGTTGCTATCATTGCAGAAAGAAGCATATTATGGCTGCTGCGCAGAAACCGGCGCTGGTGTGGCCCAAGCGGCTGGAGCTGGTCTTTCTGGAGGCATCGCCCAACTATTGTGAGCGCAGTATTCAGACAGGAACTTTGGGCACCGGGGGTCGTCCCTGCAGTCGCAGCGGCCACGGCCCCCAGAGCTGTGATCTGCTGTGCTGTGGACGTGGACACAACACACAGCACATAAGACGCAGTCGGCAGTGCCGCTGCCAATTCCACTGGTGCTGCCAGGTGGAGTGCGAGATGTGTGACGAGAGCTACGAGGAGTTTACCTGTAAATAGCTGGATCACAGCCCGACCATGCTATGAATGTTGCTAGTATTACTTAATTTAGCTCCTAGTTATCCTAGTATTTGGCGAAATTTAATGTATTACATACACACACTCACACAAGTTGTATAAGAAAACACAAATCGAGTTACAAATATACAAACACTTCGTGTACCAAAAACTACTTTTCTTTTCTTTTACCGAACGTCTTCTTGTCAGGTTGCTGTTTAAGATATCAAGTGCACGCACCAGCGGCACTCGTCGGGTTGCTGCATTGGTTAACTTGCACCATGTCAAAAATGTGGCATACTTTTTGGAGCCTGAATTGATGGGGAAAACTGCCTCTTCCCAGGGCAAGTACTTTTCGATTTTCGAAGAAAATGGTGCGTTCGAATCGCAACAGCTAACTCTATAGAACAGCATTCAAGAATTATGGGGTCATCTAAGAACCGAAAGTTGGGCAAGAGAAATCGAGTCAAAATCACAAAATCTTGCAACATTTCATGCGGTATTCAAGGCTACTGACTGGCAATTGATAGTCCTTGTTAACTCAAAAATGTTTTTTATATCTCGCACGAGTAAAACGCATCATTCAAATCTTTTAATTTTATTATATTAATGATAAAATTCCTTCGTATTCGTAAATTGTATTCTGCTAAACATAACGAATATTTGAATTGTGTTGGATGCCTACTTCGCCAAGTTTTACATTTAAAACCAATAAATCGTTGAAACATTTTCAAATGGCTTGACAAACTTACTGCCATGTGCGAAATCGGTTGAATGAACTTATAAAATAAAATAAATAGAGAGCTGTTATAAATAAATTATGAATCTATTCGAGACAGATAACAACTGAAGTAATATTGATTAAAAAACAGACAGATAGCTCTATGCTTAACTAATTATTTTTAACTAATGGTAAATCATTACTTCTTTGAAAGACATGGTTCCAACGAACTAAAATAAACTATAGCATACTTTTAGGGCGGGCAAAGAAATCAAAGCGGCATTGACAGGCGAAAGCAAAGAAATAAACCAAACGTATACAAACTACGTAACGTAAGCAGCTAAAACGTTACGTGTGGCTGGCGAATTGTGGCGGGCACTAGTTGTAAAGGAATGTCTGCGCATATTTCATATTTTGCTATTGGAATTTGTATTTAGCCGCACAATACAAAACGCAAAGCCAAATACAATTTCAGAGCCAGAGAAAGAATGGGAGCGAGAGAGAGAGAGAGAGAGAGAGAGAATATGGAGGAATGAGAGATGGCAAGCAAAACTGCGCGAGCGCGATGAAAATTCATTGATTGCAATCAGGAAGCGCCGAGTGCGCGCTCTTCACTATAGTTCTATTCTGTTCTGTTCTGTTCTGTTCTGAGTGGTACGAAGTTCACCACACAGCGTTTTTTGGGGAGTACGGACTACGACTATGATTTTGACAATAGCTATGGCGACTATAACAGCGACTGGCACAGACGAACGGCGCTCAGTTCTTTGAGGGTAGTTAGTTGGACAACGGCGTTGCCAAAAACGGGCCCCACAGCTGCCGCACAACAATTTTTTGGGTTAGATTATACACACACAAACACACACAGATTCATACACACACGCACACACACACACATACACATCCACAAAGAGTCATATGCATACGCACACTGAGTATATGTATCCGTAAAAGAGTCTTTTAACTGCTACTGCTGTTTCAGTAACTAAAACAGCAGCAGCGACCGAGACGTAGCACAAATAAAAAGGCCAACTCAATTGCCTGGCAGTGGAAAAAAAAAGGCTAAATACAAGTGCTGGGCTAATACCTGAGTGATGTTCTGTGTGTGCAAAATGTGTTTAATAAAATAAATTAAAAGTTGCAAACAAGTCAGAATCAAAAAAGCAGTGCAAAAAAGTTGGAAAAATAATGTGTGTGTATGTGAAGTGTGTGTGTGAGTGTATGCGTGTGTAGCAGCAATTGTGCCTTAGGCCGCGACTGCTCCCTGGATACAGAAAAGTGATTTCCTGCAAAATGTGCTCGCGCCTCTTGCTAAAAAAAAGAAAAGAGGAAAAAACGACAGAAGAATGGCAAAGGAAAAACTGAATAGGAATGACAGTTTATGAGTGTTGAAATGAATCAAATGATTAATCATGAATAACGTATGAGTAACTGGAACTAAAGTAGTCAGAAGCGGGCGCAAACTAAACGCAGCATATCGATTGATGAAAAAATTATTATAAATTGCTTCAACCTACATATAAAAGCGTGTGAGATACACACGAACACACACAGAGATAGAAGCACGCATACATTAAGTTTCGAAAAGCTATAAGCTGTATAACAGTAGAGAGACACACACACACACACACACACTCACTCACACATGTAGTGCAGCCTGGAGACGCTTAGAAGGCATGGTTAGGGTTAGGGCTCGGGGGTGTAACATAATGTTGTATGTGGGGTGTAGTGGGAGGTGTTGGGTTGGAGCTGGGGTTTGGGTTTGGGTTTGGGGGCAGCCCTTATGTCGTTAGCTTCGTTAGTGGTTCGCTCGGTCGTAGTTCGCTTCGGTTCTACTCTCGTCTCGTCTCGTTTCGGTTCGGTTCGGTTCGCTCTGTCGTTGAGTCCGTTACGTTTCGATTACGTTGTACGTAGCTCCCACTCCGGCAACTCCAACGTTGAAGCGCTGACTTCACGCCGCCACTCTCTCTCTTTCCCACTCTCTTAGCTTTGCTTTTCTCTGTGTGTGTGTGTGTGTGTGTGCGTGTGTATGTCGCTTCGTGCGTCGAAATGTGTGTCAGTGGCTTCTCGTAAAAGCACTGGAGCAGGCGATAAAATGAGCGAGTTCGGGAAGAGTGCTACCTACTCAAACTTCGAACTCTCTCGCCGCCCACACAGCCCTTATAAATCACTCGTTGAGCACGCAGCACTCGAGCAACAACAAAAAGATGATAAAAAAAAAATGAGAATGTGCCTTAATTAACTTGAGACAAGCTAAAAAAGAAAAAACAGTTCAACAGTTTAACTAATGTGCGGTGTTTTTGTGTTTTCATTGATTCGCTTTACAGCCATGTACATACATAAAAAAAAAGCATTAAACTAGCTAGCGGCTACCAATAAAAAGCAATTGGTCAACAAAAAAAAGTTAAGAAACAGAAAGTTACAAAAAAAAAATAACAAATTGAAAAGCAGCAGCGGCAACGGCAACGGAAATGCACGTAGAGCCACCTAAAAGCAACAACTACAACAACAAGACGAAGAAGAGGAACTATAACAGCAGATATTCACACGCCCCCAACTCACACACACCCACAAATGCACACACACACACAATTACATTCATGCCAGGCAATGTAGCCGCCGTGTTGTGTGTCTGTGTGTAGAAGAAGAGCAATCAAAATTTTGTGATTGCAACAAATTGTTGAGCTAGGCAACTGCAGAAGGTGCTGCAACTGCTGGAATTGGGAGCTGCAGCTGGAGCTGGAACTGGAGCCAGGGCATCTGCATATATCACAAACATATAGAATACAAATTTCATACGCAGCGCTCAACATAAAACCCATTCAAAATTCATCGTCTAAGCAAAGCGGGTGAGCACATCTACAATCTATCCTATATACTATATACTCTTTATATGCTTATACTATCTACTGAGGCTAATGCAGTTTTCACAAGACACACACACACACACACACACACTCCAAAGGAGCTATACGCACGCACACACATGCACACACAAATTTATATGCATTGTAAGCTATATTGATTTCCTGCGTATATCTTGAGTAATCCTAAAATAAACCCCTCGACAAACAAAAACCAACTAAGTATTCAACTATTTATGCTTGTATGACTAACTCGTATGTATGTATGTATGTGTATTGTGCATTTATTAATACTACTTATTCTTCCTCTCTCTTTTATATGCCAATTTTTAGCATTAATTTCGATTCAATTTTGGTTTGAGCTAAAAATAAATACAAAAAAAAAAACAATGTTGTGATTAGCTTAAGTAATCAATATAGAGTTAAGTAAATATATAGACCATAGTTATATTATTTATTACCCATACGCCCCATTAGTTCGAATAGGTCTTATGTTGTGTTTCATGCTTGATTTGAACTCTCGCAAATTCTCATATATCAGAAGCGAGGTATGCACTTATTTTAAGTCGATATATAATTATAGCCAGACCATCGACTTGTCTTTCAAATTAAATTGCTTTTCAGACATGTCTTTCACGTTTAAATGGCTTTTAAAAGTTTATAATTAAACTGGGCTGCACACGAAATGCTCTGCCAATTGCACAGAGCCCCCAAAAAATCGTACTTCTATTTGAGCAGAAATACGCCCCCTGTCAAATAGGCAGCTCGCATGATTTGTCATGCGGGTATACATACAGACAGCGCATTGACAGTGGATCAGTGAATATAACAAGTATTTCTGCCACAACGCCCCCTAACCCCTTTTCTTACCCTTTCCTTACCCTTCACTCCCATCACCCCTTTGCGTGCCATGCAGCGGTGTTTGTTTTTATTCTGATGGAAGAGGGGGCTTTGGAGGGAAAGGGGGGATTTTTGGAAAGGATTGTGCCGGCATTGCTTTGGTTTTAGCTTCAGTTACAGTTCAGTTTTCATAGCCAGTTTCATTTTCAGTTTCTTGACGACATTTGACGTGTCTCAGTCTTGTTCTAATTTTAGACGAGTGGAATAATTTTTATTGATTTCAAATTTTAACCTTATTTTACACGCTCGCCTTGCGTGTGTATGCGTGCTGGTGTGTGTGCGAGTATGTCTCGCAGCATAGGTCTCTGGCTATATGCAAGACCGCAAGAAAAGAAGAAAAAAAAAAAATGAAACGCCGCCAAAGCGTCCCAACGCCCAACAGCAAAAACAAAATGCGGCAAACGCTTTACGATGACGCTATTGTTGAATCGTCACATTAGTATGTGTGTATTAGAGAGAGTGTCTGAGAGTGTGTGCGAGCGTGTGTGCGAGCGTGTGTGTGAGTGTGTGTGTCTCTTTTGCTGAGCGCCGCAGCTGCGCAAACTGCGTGTGGTGAATTGGCGAACGAGCAGCAGATGGGCGCCACCCACAATTCAACATGTTTATTTGACAGCGGACTGCAGGGAGAGGGTGGCAGCGGGGCTAGGGCGCTTGTGAGATAACCCATAGTGCTGATAACGGCAAACGAGTGGCGGGCAGTTAGCCGCGAGCACTAAACGCAGACAACAATTGTACACGATTTCGTCATCAAATGTCGTTGCAAAAGTGTCAAACCGGAAGCTCGCCTGAAAATATGCAGTGAAAAAAAGAAGATAAAAAGTGAGCTGCCTGCATAGATAAGTAGTTTCGAGGAGTATTTTCTGTGTGTGTGCGTGTATGTGTGTGCCTGCTTTGTTTGCATAGTAAAGTGCTGAACCTTAAGTGTTTTTTTTTTTCTTGATCTGGCGATGTAATCGAATCCTGGCCAGTGAGATTGCTTACGACCAAAGCCTGATGCACTCCTGACCTCATCTTGATTGCATCTGTCTCTTGTGGCTGCTGCAAATTTGACCAATATGTACTGCAAGCCCCGTTTGTTGTTGCTGTCACGTAAATAGGCACTCAAGTGACACATACACACACACACACACACATGAGCACACACAAACTCACACAAACACTGCACTTGCTCAGGCATGCAGTAAACATTTGAATGGTCTTCCGGTCTGCTGATTCGTTTAGGTTTTATTTAGCCGCCTGTCAGCCCTTTGCTTCTGTTGTGCCCACACCCGTCTATGCCCTTTCGTTATTCTTCTGCTCTGACGCTTTCCTTTCAGATCTGGCCTTATCCATTCATAAATCGGTGCATTCAGTTTTCCTGCTTTACTTTTAAGCCCCTCCGTGGCTGCCTACCTGGTTAGAAAAAAATAGAAAAGCGTGAGACTTGTCTTAACTTCACGTGATAGAAATTGGCTATGGCAAACGAGGGTAGTTTTAAGGAATTAAAGTTGGATTGAATTTAGAAATAGTCGGGATTGTTATTGAGTAAGTAGTAAACTAAAACTAAACTAATGTAGAAACCGCTTCTAATCATGACTAATTTAAGGATAGGATCTCTTTGCTTTTACGTCATACGCAAAAGGTTATAGCTGCTCCAAAACACAATCAGCTTTAGCTTTGTGTATGTTTGATTAAATCGTTGTCAATTATTGCATTGACTCTTGATTAGTTTTACCTACTTCGCTATACAATTGGTTTTATAATACTTAATTTAATAACTTTTTTACATCAATTTAAATATGTATATTATAACTAATGCTTGACTTTTCCCTTATTTACTCGTCACTTAGTATAAAGAGAATAAGTTATTTCTACAATAAAATATAAAATTTGACTATATAAAAGTCTAGTTATATAGTTGTCCACAGGTAGAATTGATTATTATTATTTTTAGTTATTAGAGTTGTAATTATATCACGCTGCTTAACTTAATCTGCATTAGTTATGGAGTTCATTATCTCTGTGCTTCTTTGATTTTATAGTTTATCCACTATTGATTTTTCTGCATAACCCAAAACTTTATTCACGCAACCTCAATTGGCTGGTATAAAGAGACAGCATAATTTAAAAATGCATAATATTATATTGATTTCAATAAGCCATTTCCTGTCTGCTAAATATTGTTATTTTGATTTCAATAAGCCAATCGTTGTCTGTCTGGCTACTGATACCACCCTCGTTGATATTCATGAGAATATCTTCCCGCTTGTGTGTGTGTGAGTGTATTCAACTGAGTGCGACTTCTCTTGGCAGCGACTTGCTGGAGTGGCAATTTGCATGCGATTTGCTTTGTCTAAATAGGAAGGAAATTTGCATAGAGAGCGAGAGCTGCCATAATGCAATGCTCTCGTCATTTTTTCTCTCAACCTACCGCTTAGTATTTGCTTATGCGCTTATGGCTGAGCAGAGATCTAGGTAAAAAGGTTAAGGATATGCTGGTTGACGTAGTCTAATTTAAATGCAAAACGGTTAAATGCTCTGCTTAAAGGCAGTCGAGTCTGTGCCAAGAGGGGCGTATGCGTAATATGTTAATATGTATGTTTGGTATAATCGTAAGATTTACGTCTGTTTTGTGTGTGTTTTGTTTATTTTGTACCATGTCTGTTCTCTTCTCACTTCTTACACTTGCAGATACATAGATGCAGCGAGCTCACATGCCACGTGTCTAAAAGAAAGCAATTGAAAAAAGAATTTAACTCGAATAATACTACTAGAACCAAACACAAATAATAAAGCCAATCAAAACCGAGCATATCACTTATATAGAGCATAAACCAAAGATAAACCTATCAAACGTCGCATTTAAATAGGACAAAGAGCAAACAACAACAACAACAACAGCAACAGCAATAACAACAACTGCAGCAACAACAACAACAACAAGCAACTCCAACCAACAACAGCAACAACTAGAGCTCGTGGGTGCATGCCGCGGATCAGCCGCGGATTATGTCACGTGACGATTATAATCCAGTGAATAGCTCTGGTGTGCGCAGTCCTGGTCGCGTGCGTCGACTCCAGGAATTGCCACAAGTCGATCGCTCACCATCACGGGATTACGGCGCACGCGGAAGTCCACTAGGTGAACAAAAAATACCAAAAAAAAAAAACAAAAAAAAATTAATAAAAATTTTAAAAAAATGTAGTTACTGTTTACAGTTAGTTGCTTTAACTAAAACAGCTTTCGAAAAGGAACGAAGCAAGCTATATCCAAGCACAAACGTAGCCGAGAGCACAAAATTCCAAAATGTTGCGTATTCAAAAGATACGCAACAAAAAGTAATAACAACAAAACTAAAATTCACCGCTGCTCACGTTTGTGCAAAAAATAATAAAAAAAAAAAAAAATAATCTCTATTTTTCGATTATTAATTAACTTTTTACAATTGGCAAGTTTAGAAAAATTTCCTACTATTTTAACTGTTATCAAAATTTCCACTTAAAAACCCTGCTGCATGCATAAAAACTGATTTATGTATGCATCGCACGGATATTGGCTTAAGATATTTCGACAAGAACTTGTACAGTTTTATCTTGATTTGTGAATTGCTCCAAAATTGAATACTTTTAATTTGTAAAATTAAATTTCATGAAATGCTTTTAGTTGTGCTATTGTAGTTGAATTAAAACTAATGCAAAATTTTATACTAAAATCTATAATTTCTGTCTAACATCACACGCATGCGCATGGTACATTTTTCGTTTGGCTTAACTCATCTGCAAAATCTGTAAAAATTTTCATTTTCTTTTAACGAAACAACAACAACAACAACAAATCACATACACTAATACAAACCTAAACATTTTGACACGGCCGCATAAAATGTAAATCGATGCGCTTTTAAATGCATTATTAAAATCAAATCGCATATGCATACTGAACTTTGCAAACTTTTCAATCGAATTATTTATGAAATAAACCGGCAGCAGCAGCAGCAACATATAACTTGTAAATTGCATTAACTTGGCTAGGGAGAATGGCTTGTAGTTGAATTCGCAGCCAGCAACCGCCTTGAGTTGTTGCAGCAAAACCAATTTAGTTCCTGCTGAAGCGTAACAGAAAATCAAAGCCTCAAACTGGATTACAATTATGGTTAGCAAACATTCACTTTATCCAATTCCCATTCATCCAAGAACTTTGTCCAGGCCATAAATTAAATGAAAACAAGTGCTTAACTGAGCACATACGCAAACTGACCATAATTTGAGCAACTAGAAAATGTATTTAACTCGCACCCATCTAATTAGCTGCCCACGTTATTCAGCTGCAAAAATTGCGTTTATTATTACCCTCACAGTTGGACCCAGGCATTTTGATACAGTTCAAGAATAACCATAGAGTTGGCAAATATACAGCTCCTTAAAGTGAACTTGTGTAGCTCCCTAACTTAAACTATTAGTGCAGATAAAGTGAGTTTGTAAAAGAAGTCCTGAAACGACAACAAAATTAAAAGAAAATACTAATAGTAAAGTTTGTAAGTTGTAGAAGAAAAAAATGTTAAAAAATACTTTTATTAATGAAAAGAAATGTATAAAATGTATATATCTTCAGATACTGCTGGTGTACATTAATAGTAACAACCAATTTGCAAACACAAGCCAAAAAGTTGATTTAAAGCAAAATTATTAATTATTTGCAACGAAGACTTAATGAAGTAGTTGAAACCTGTTTCATCAAATTTTGAAGAGTAGTGTCTAAAATAAAAATTAGACTTCATCTAAGTATACACGCAAAGAAGCCTTAGAATTCACTCTATTATCAGCTTATACAGGAATAAAAAAACAGCCAAAATTGGCAGAACTGATGCCGAAGGATATGGAACCGCCAAAGAGCTACAAATTAGGTTTCGTGTGGCTCGGCGGGATACGTGAAAATATGCTCGTGCTGTCAAAATTTGAGTATAGTTTATGGCACACGTCCGATGCACAAATCACACAACGCTACTGCTGCTACTGCAGCGAGAAGGCGGCATCCCCTGCAGCAGGGGGCATAGATGGGGGAGTTAACAATGAAGCTATTTTATGAGCCATTTTTTATGAGCTGCGAACTGCGAGCTGCGAGCTACTTGTAAAGGAAACACGACAAACATTTTACGTTGCTGTTGAGTTTTTGCGTTCGTTTTCTACTAACCCAAGCGTTCCGTTAATCATTATATATATTATGTATAACTAGTAACTGCATAATTCAGTATGAAGCCACAAACTAGCATTAGCGCAATAAGAAAGTGATTACAACGATCTAAATCCTTTCACTGCACTAGTTTCCACCTTCAACCCAAAACTAGTTCCAGTTCTTGATTTCAATATTTTTATTTGATTATTTGACCACATACATACTCACATTCTCACACATATACACACACACACATACACACACACACACACACATACACACACTCGAAACCGAAACCAAAACCCGTCATCCTCATTTGATCATCGTCATGAATTCTATGTGAATTTCAGCAATGGGCAGTCCATACTACCGCGACATGGATGAGCCAACAAGTCCCGCCGGTGCGGGACACCATCGCAGCCGCAGCGCCAGCAGACCACCGATGTCACATGCCATGGACTATCCAAGTAATAATCAGCAATTCAGCTATACACTCTACACAATATTCTGCCTGCATTTAATGTGGTTCTTCATTTTTTATAATCAAATTTTCGCAGGAACCCGCTATCAGTCGCTCGATCGCGGTGGATTGGTGGATCCGCATGATCGCGAATTTATTCCCATACGAGAGCCACGTGATCGCTCCCGGGACAGATCCCTGGAGAGAGGCCTTTACCTAGAGGATGAACTTTACGGCCGTTCAGCGCGACAAAGTCCCAATGCGCTAGGAGGTAAATAAATGTCCCTACTTTCAAATAATTATTAACTCGATATTACCTAAAGTTCAAATGTATAGATCTGAAGCACTTTAACAAAGCCTATATATTTAAAAAAAAACCTTTTAATTTAAATATTAATATAAACATTAAGCAAAATTATGATAGAATAAACTATTGTGTTTAGTTTCTGAAATTTTCTAGTTGAATTCTAGATATTTGCTGCAGGGATAATAGACATAAAAATATAATTTAAGAAATGGGTTCTGCTAGCAAATAAAATATTTGTATTAAAGATAGATCTATAAATTAAAGTAAATATAAATAAAAATAAATAAATAAAATAGTTAACATTGTATAGATCAAGCAGAGTTGAATAATAATTTTGTAAAATTACTTTTAGGTTACAATACGGGCATGCCTACGTCGGACCGTGCCTATCTTGGTGATTTGCAGCATCAGAATACGGATTTGCAGCGTGAGCTCGGCAATCTGAAGCGGGAATTGGAGCTGACGAATCAAAAGTTGGGCAGCTCGATGCACAGCATCAAGACGTTCTGGTCGCCGGAGCTGAAGAAGGAGCGAGCGCTGCGCAAAGAGGAGAGCGCCAAATACAGTCTGATCAATGATCAACTCAAGTTGCTCAGCACCGAAAATCAGGTAAGCAGAAAAGTGTTAACTCTTTGTACCACTACAATTGATAATTGTTATTTTTTCATCTCATTTTTTCTTTAATTTAGAAACAAGCAATGCTCGTGCGCCAGCTGGAAGAAGAGCTGCGTCTCCGCATGCGGCAGCCGAACCTGGAGATGCAGCAGCAAATGGAGGCGATCTATGCGGAGAACGATCATCTGCAGCGCGAGATAAGCATTTTGCGTGAGACCATAAAGGATCTCGAGTGTCGCGTCGAGACCCAAAAGCAGACGCTTATCGCACGCGACGAGAGCATCAAGAAGCTGCTGGAGATGCTCCAGGCCAAGGGCATGGGTAAGTTCTCCAATAGTTGCTATCTCTTCCAGTGGCATCAAATTGCGATTTGTTACAGGCAAAGAGGAGGAGCGCCAAATGTTCCAGCAAATGCAGGCGATGGCACAAAAACAGGTAAGTCCTTTTCCCCACAATATATCCTTGTGCCGCTACAAAAAAAAAAAAAGATAAAAATATAAAAAACAGGCGGCCCCCTGCAAAAAAAAAAAAGAAGACGACTCTCTGTCTACTTTTTTTTGTTATTTTTGCGGCAAACAATGCTCTAGTGACAATGATTTCGTACACGGGCAGAGAGGCGGAATAACAACAATAAATGCCTCTCTGCCCCAAACTCAAAAACAAAAACCAACAAGAACGTTAACTACCAAAAAAAAAAAAAAAAAGAAAGAAAAGAAAAAAATGACTACTCTGTAAACTATTTATTTTTGAATTCTCATTTCTTTTTAACAACTTTTGCGACTGCAAAACGCAAAGTGCAAAGTGCTTAACGTTGAATTTTTTTGTTGTTTCACATATACTACCAGTAATATTCAACAAATACTAAACACACATACATACATCCAATAATACTCGTAAAAATACTCGAATGTAGTGCCTAGCATCCAAAAATTCGCATAAATTTGCTTCGTTTTGCTTTGAACTAACTGCCAGTTAAGAACGTTAACTACAAATTTCAACTTTCAACTTAAGATCTAGCGTTTGCAGTTGGTTCGTAGTGTTCGATTTTAAGTTCTATATACACACACACACACACACACACACACACAAACAAATATACACTCACAGACACGCTTGATATGTTTTGCTTGTTGTACTTGTTGTTGTTTAATTAATTTGAAACGTTTTTCATTGTGTTCGCCCCCAAATAAAAACAATATATATATATATATATGTGAACGTATTGCAAATGAGTCAGCTATAAGAGCTCTTTAAACACATACAGATACACACACACACACACACACACACAGACACAGACAGTCATTGTTACAGTCACTTATTGTTAGTCATTTCATCAGTTGCAATCTCTCTCGATATGGGGCAAGCAATAAAATTCAATTTGTTGCATCCATTTCGTACATTTTGTAGACAGTTCGGCATTGTTTTGAGCCCCCAACCCGTTGACCCTGTTTCATGTCTATCTTTGTAGTGCTTTATTGCTAGCTCTTATACAACAAGGAAAATGCATTCTATTTGCATCATAATTCATACTTATTGACACACATACACACACATAAACAAAAAAACAAAAAAAAAACAAAAAAGCACAAGCTGTTGGCACCCCCCGGGGGAAATCTACTAAAAATTGCCAGGGAGTTGACAAAGCACTGACTCATCTATCCCCAAGGACAGCAAAGAGGGCAGCTGCTTATTACTAATACACACACACACACATACACATACATATTTACATATACTATGTAACTATACTCTATAATTATTCGTATGACAGCCCATAGATAAAATGCGTATACATAATATCATGTGTTAAGCCCAGTTGCTGCGACCCCAGGCCAACCAACAGGCTCTAGCATGTCAACAAAGGCGTCGGACCGAACAGCAAAACAAAAAAACAAAAACACAAAAACAAAAAGGAAAACAGATATAACAGCTATCCTTGACACGCCGAATATTATATACCCTTGCACACCAGAATTACCCTGAACATATTTAAATCCATCTATTTAAATACAGCTATCTGATTTAGTACCCCAAAATTTATAATTTCTCCTGATAATGTGAGCTATAATTCCGGATAAAGAATATTTATACTTTATGGCGTTACTCATTTCATGATCAAATTAAAATACTTTCTGCAAGTGTAGAAAAAAAAGTCACACAACACGCTGAGAACCAGAGAAACAGAGAGAGAGAGAGAGAGACCGGAGGAGGAGGAGAGGGACAGGCGCTATGTGCTGGGCGCTGTGGGATTTCTGGACATAAATAACCTTGATACCACGATAGGCTACTTATTTAAGGCAACTCCATTTTTAGCTTCCGACTGATCCTTTCCATTCAGCTTTTGGACAGCTGCCCACTTGGCAATTTATTCACATTTTATTCACGCATCAACTGAATGCTTGAATGCTTGACTTACTGAATAGTGTTCGACTGTCGCAATTGGATATTTTTGCACACAATATACTGCTGATGCCAAGAGCTATTGAATGTCGGCCACGCCTTGGGGAGGCGTTTGGGTTTGTAAGTAATGAATTTGTCACTCGTGCTGTGAGACAATACAAACAAGCGGCATAAACACAAACAGCAGTAATTAAAAATCGTCATTTCAAAATGTGGCAAGTAAAAGCAACAGCAAATGGCAGGAATATTGTAAGAATTCGAAAAGTCTGACAGTAAAATACCCTGCTAGTTGAATGAAAGAAAATAAATTTATTCTCCTGTAGTATTGTAGCAGTTATACAGATTTTGCCGATAAATTAACAATACAGGTCACATTCACAAAGAAATATATTAGTCCTCAGCTTATATCAAATTTGGTAAATTTAGCTTTAAATGTTGGCCTTCTTTAAAAGTGAATCTCATAAGTAATACTGTGTTAGTTATAGCAAAAAATACGTGCTATATATGCTCATATATATACTCATACTCATAGCAATAACAGAGTAACTAAAGAGAAAATAAAAAACAGATTTTACGGATTTTTGCGAGAGTGGGCGAGCAATTAAAAAGTTCGCCATCGCATTGCGTATACGCCGCGTTCGGCGAATAGGCTTGAAAAGGCGAACAATCAGCGGCTCGCAATTTTGCTGGGTCGAGGTCAGTTCTTGTTTCGATTCCAATTGCATTTCCTATAAGTGCGCATGTTGTTTTTGGCCTTTTCACGCTGCAAAAACCTTTGTCACTGTAATTTATAGTCCGTATACAATGCACACAGCTCAATAGTCATTGTTGTTGTTGCCTTTGTTAAAACTTGCCCCTAAAAGTTAATCAAGGTTGTCAGGACTTTAATGAAAATGGCATTGTTTTCCATTTGATCAAGTGTGAACAACTTGAAAAGCTAAGTAAACTAGAACAGGTGCTGCTTAATGACTTTCTATCGATTCAGCTTCGGTAATGGAAAAGCAGCTCATTCATACCAATCATCCACAAATGCATTTCATTTAATACGGCGAGTTATTTTTATATTTTGCCATAATGTACATCAAAAATGAATATCAATTCAGACTTGTCTTTAATTTACCTTGTTTTTAAACTATATTTAAAATCATTATTCTCCCATTAATTTAATAGCTTGTGCTTAAATCCAATTATTCGTCATATTAAATCAAAATAAAAATGCATTGCATACTTTTAAGCGCAGCCCAGATTTAATATTCCCATTTAGTCGTATATTTGCCTGTATGTATTTGCTCAATCGTATGCTGTTCTTCAAAGTTTTCTAGTTCAATTGCTTAACTTTAGTATACATGACATCTTTTTGTCTCCATATCACATCTATTGAGTCATCTTGCTCATATGTATGTAGTAGCTACCAGGGCTAGACTTGTGGCCAAGGCTGGTTCCATTTGCCAGGCCTTATATAACTTTTGCTTACGCATATCTTGTCTTCTCTGTGTATGTGTTGGCGCTTCTACATTTTATATTAACATCATTTATGGGCATTTATCTGGCGCCGCCTCGTCTGTGGCATACATTTGCCCTCTGGCATTGGGTGTTGGGCATCACATAAGAGACTCGTCTGGTTGACAAAACATCTGAACATTTTTTCACTTTCTTACCAACAGCTTGATTTGGAGCGTGAAATCAAGAAATACGCTCAGGAGGAGCAGGGGGTGAGGGTGAGTTTTGTCGCACACTTTTCTTGCCAGTTTCTCAGCTAGCCAAAGTAGTTTGCGCCTTAACCCCCTTTAGCTGAACACTAGCCAACTACACTGAAACATTAGCCAAAGCCAGTGCTTTTAGGCCATCGAAACCACCTGAGCCACCCGACCATTCATTTGGCATAGTTGCACGTTGGCTTGAACTGTCGATGAATGGCAGTTACATTCAAATATTCATGCTGTTTTGGCCCTGGCCAAGCAAATTACCAAGCTATGCAAAACGGCGCCAATGCCTGAATTTTAATTAGCATGTAAAAGCAAACGCCCGCCGGAGTGGGTAAGCGTGTGTGTGTGTGTGTGTGTGAGTTTGTGTGAAGAGCACAAGGATAAGCCCATGCATACGCATAAATAATAATGGGCATGGGTGTGCGGGGAGTGTGTGTATAGGTGGGGCATGTGTGTGTGTGTGTGAGTGTGTGTGTGTGTGTGTGTGTAGGATGTTACTGCGGCTGCTGCTCGTTATTATACATGAAATACTAGCCAGGCTCAACTCTTGATATATTGTGGCAGTGTCCTAGGGGGCGGGCTCGTGGGCGGCGGGTGTTCATTTTGTATTTGGCCGAGGGCATAAAATAATTACGCGGCTTGCCGCAAAATTCATGTTGCTGTCAAAAAAACACACTTAAAAAAAATTATGCCCTTGAATTTTGAAAATCGCTCTGAAACCAAAAATGGTTGCAATAATAAATTTTAAATTTAAGAAATACATTTCTGAAGACTCGAATCGACAATTCTAGATATAGCTTATTTATTTATAAATATGTAATAAACTGTGTACAATGCAAGCCACCCATTTTTCTTTGAGTACAGAACAAGTGAACAAGTTTATAAAACCGTGTCGCGGGCGAAATGCAATTAGAAAGTGCGCTTGCTCTTTTAAAAGCGTTTAATTAGCATAGAAATGAAATGAAATGAAAACAATTAAGCCGGAAAAGGAAATGCGCAGTAAGCACTGAACTCTGAACTCAGAACTCAGAACTGGAGCCCTCTTTTAGCAATGCAGCAGCAGCTCACAAGCTGGCACAGTGCCACACAAAATTATACAGATAGGAACACACAGAGCTAGCGAGATGGAAGGAGAAAGACAAGGACTGTTGCCAGACAGAGAGAGAGAGAGAGCGAGCGAGCGAGAGGCAGAGAGAGAGAAATGGCGAGAAGGACAATAACAAGAACAGGAAACAGCAGCCATAACCATCCTATCCTGCATCCTGTATCCCACTTCAGCGGTCATTTTCTCTCTCTTGAAATGTCAGCTTGAATTGATTTATCGAT